CTGGTATTTTGGGGGGGCGGGTGTCTGCAGACGAGGGTAGGGAAGTTCATATAGGAGAAAGTGGTCATTTTTGTCCCACACCGGGACCTCTGTGTGATCAGAGCTTCCATTGTAATTGGTTCTCCAAGTTGGGGCTGTGTCACCATTTTTATTGAACTCCAATATAAGTAAAAACAAGCCCCATTTTTTAAAAAAAAACTTAACCAGCTGCTGTAATGTTGCACAAACTGTTAAACAGCTTCAGCAGTGGAACTCAAGCCTGTAAAAATTGTTTTCCATCATTAGCAGAGTAGAGCAAGAAGACGAATTTGGAAGGAGTGCTAGTTGATGCTGAGCGACCTCTTGGAACTAGAGACGAGGCCAAAGTGTTTACATTCTCTGAAAATTGTAACAGGTCAGCAGAAGAGGGCTTTTTGTGGGGAGAGAGTGCCATTCTCATGCTGATCTGTTTTGACATTCTATAGCAAATATAAAATATTGGGATGGAAAGGCATATTGGAAACAGCTGCAAGCAATAAATATGTCACCAATATGCCAATAAAAATGAACAGCTCCACTGAACTCGATAGTTAGCAATGGCGGAAGGTCAGCAATGAGGTCACTCTGTCTGGACTCAGGCTTAGACCTGCTAATCTGGAATGGGGAGGAAGAAATAGAAGTCAGGTGCAGACAGCATATTTAATTTGGCTTTGCACCAGGATCCAAGAGCTAGGTCAGGATGCTAAGGTAGAGGAGCTGCCGGTCATAAAAGCTACTGTCATTCTATCGCTTCCCTTTGGAGGGTTACAGTTCCGCACCTTCGGACTGAGGCTTTATTTACTTAAAAAAATAATCTTTCCCATCCCAGTTTGGTTAAATCGATTCTCAAGCTGGCCAGCAGGTTGAAAGAATCATAGCATGAAGGCAAAAACACAAAATTCCCCTCAAGACCCGCTGCAGAATACATAAAATTCAGCCAGATGTAAGATATTTAAAGACTTCATGAAATAGCGAGTGGTCTTTGCTGCTTGAGTGATGCATGGAGAAAAAAAACTCTGTGAGCCACACATCAAGAAGGCTGCGGCTTTGTGCCTAGCTGACTGTGGAAGGACTTAGAACAAGGCCTCTGATATTCATCTGAGTGCCCAGGAAGGTTGATAGGGGAAGAGACTATTGATATATCTCCCATTTCCCCGTAAATCAGGAGACTTGGGTATGGAAAGGCAAGAATTGTGGGAACCGAAGTCTGGCAGTGCATGGAAAGGTTCTTGTGGCTCTGCCTGAAACCTTGGTGAGAGGGGTAGTTTTCTGTGCCAGTTGTGGGAGAAGACCATGGAATGACTTGATGTGGCTCAGAAATGGTCTCGCATCGAAGGTAGTGGACCAGACTGGCCTCTTTTTCCACAAGGACTGGGAACTATTTGCACGCGATGTTATCTGATCTGTCTCTGGGGAGGGAGCATTATGGAGAAGGCGTTCGTAACACTGACAATGAGCAAGAAGTCATCTTGTTTGCTACTAGTATGCCTCCTTTCTATTTCTGTTCGAGCACGGCCTTTCGCGCTGAGTGTTCCCCTTCGGCCTCCTGAAGATTCGTCTTGTTGACACTGCTGATTTTCATTACGGTCAGCTATTTTGGTGCTCGTGACTCAGCCTATTTGCAGATTCTCCAGGGAGAGTCCTGCAAAGCACACATCTTCTGCACACATCAGAGGATGACAAATGGGTCCGGCAGATCCGGGGGGGGGGGGGGGATCTTCCCGTCCGTAGCAATGGGTGGCGGTGAGGGGGGAGCATCTCTGGATTCAGTGTCAGTTCACTCCTAAGATCTTGATCCAACTGTTTCCAGCTGGTCGTTGTTTTTTAATTAATAGGAACTGGTATGAGCCAGAACCTGAGACAGAGCCATTTCTTTGCATCTTCCCTCTCTTTGACTCAGATGTAAAGGGCTCTACCTTCTCATGCCCCCGCTCCAACTGCTGCATTGCTCAAGGTGGTCCTCTTTGTACCACTAACGTTAAATTCAAGTCAGGAGGGTGGCAAATACCACATTTTGGGTGGCGAGGAGCTGCCCGCATCCTTGGGGGAGGCTGTGCTGTGCTTCCATGAAATCAACACTCCACCCCACTGTGACTGTCTTCCAGTTATGGGCCAACTATTGGTCTGGTTGCTGTAGGAGCGGCTCAGAGGCATGGTGGCAGAGCTTTGCATAACACAGTCTTGATCCCTGACCACCTGGGTCCCTACTTTAACTGCCTTTAAATGTCACCCAGGGGGTTCCCCGGGGCACACCTGGTCTCCCACCTGTGCCATTTAGGCTTAGAACCTAAAGGACAAACTGAGGGACAGATCCAAGGGGAAGTCATAGAGTAGAGGTCAACGATGCAGCTTCACTAGGCAAGTGGGTAGCTTTCCAGGAGAGCTGTCCAAGGTGCAGCCGGGGTCAGAGCATGGGAAAGCAACCCAAAGAAATGTTGCCCAAAACACAGAGTCAGGTCGAGGTCCAGAGGTCAGGAGTACAGCAGTTCAAGCATGAGGCAAGACCGAGTCATTGGAAGCGGAGAGAAGGTTTCCAGGAGCTCCACATTCCAGCAGAGAGCTGATGGAGCCAGAACTTCCAATGCCCCACCCAGGCCTCGGCTGGTGTTCATCACAGACTTGTGTAAGAAGTCCTCCTCGTGGAAAGGGATGTACTCGTGTGGAGTCCAGTTGCTGTGGCTCTTGAGACGGGCTCGAGGAGGTGGTCTGTGCTTCCACCTCCTCACACTGGCACCTTTGAGAGCAGGGAGGTCTTCTCCTCGAATTCTGGGTGAGAAGCATGTTCTTCAGGGGTGCTCCACCGGTACCAGAGAACTTGGGGGAGCTTCCTGGAGGAGGCTTCCAGGCAGCTTCCCAGGGCAATGCACAGGGTTGTTGGACACCATGGCCCCCAAATCATCAGCGTGGCCTGAGTTGGACATGACAGCCAGAAACCTCACCTTCTTTCTGGGTGTCTTTGTTTCTCAGGGTTCAATTGTCAGCCCCAAAAAGGAGGACCCTTTGATGTTTGCCCATGTCTTCTCAGAGGCTGCCTTACCGCTCCTCCTCCCTCAGCATTCCGTTCATGAACTGATTGTAGTCTGCTTTGATTGTCTGCTCTTAGTGGGTTAAATGGGGTGATCTAGGGAAGTGAAGTGGCTTTTGAGAAGAGTCCCTTTTCAAGAGGAAGGTTTGGAAGCAAATGTATTTTCTCAGCCAGACCAATGACCCCCAAAGAGCACACTGTGAATATATACAAGGCTTCCCAAAGAATACGGCGCATCAAAAAGATTCAAAGATATCTTTTCTCTGGGCCAGCTGAGTTGAATCCAATCAAAATGAACATTGGAAATGAACGATTCCTATCCTAGAGAGTGGCAGTCACAGTAGGGCTTCTCTGGAGAGGACAAGAAGCTAAGAAAACTCAAAAGCAACAAACCCTAAGAGAAGGCGGAGATGTTGGCATCTATTGCTTTGCATCCTACACTGACCCTCTTCCTCCCTCCGCAGAAGGTTGAAAGTTTACCTTCTGTTGAAAGTTTGCCTTATTACTTCCTCAGGATCTAACAGTGGAGGCTGCTGTTTTTCAGAATGTACTGTTCATATGAAACCTGCGGAAATTTACTCGTGCAAAGTTTTCTCTGGAGATCAGGAATTTCAGATAGAGAGGTTGTACTTCTCTGGCCTTCTAGAAGTTTTGTCCTACAACTTCCATAAACTCTAGGCAGTACATGGAATGGCGATGGCTGATGGGATTTGGGAGGCTGCAGGTTGCCCATCCATGGTTTATGCCTTCTTGGTATTATCTCTCCCCCATCACAACTTCTGCCAAAGCATTTCAGGTGCTTTTTGGTTGGTTGGTTGGTTGGTTGCTTTCGTTTGTTGCTTTGCTGCCTATGAGGCTTGCTATGAAAGGGAAAAGGAATTAGGATGGTAAGAGGAAAATGTACGCATTTAAGCACAGGCTCGTGTTTAGATGTTACAAAGTGAAGTTATAGATAATATAAATTCCAGGTACAGTGGCTGCACGTGGAGGAAAGCAGGCGAAGAGGAAAGAAAGGCAGGGAACAGAGGTGTGGAATCTCTTTTATCCAGAGGGCCAATTCAGTTTTGGAGAAGCTCCTGGGAAGCAAATTCCAGTTGTTGATGGGGCCAGAAATACCCCAGTTGACAGCCTATATTAGTGTTAACATGGTTTTGTTGGTATTCACACCTTAGGAGTGACATATGCTTTTAGAAAGGTGGCTAAAAAAACTGGGAATCATCAAGTGATTGGTGGTTGAGGGAATGGGTACAGGAAAAGGGGGGGGGGGGGGGGCTGTACTGGGAATCCAGGCAGGTTCAGCAACCTTATAACAAAACGACTTCCCTGCCTGAGAGAACAGAAGCTGTAAATACTATGGGGCACCAGGCAAAAACGCTTCTGTTCACCCTGGTGTTTATTTAGTAATAAGTGTTACTCATAATGTCTTTTATTGTTGCTTGATTTGTGATTTGATATCCTGAAGTCCTAAACTGGGTGAAGGGTACAATTAAAATATTTTAAGGAAAAAGAGGAATCCATCTATTTGCAAGACACTCGAAACAGAAAATAATAAAAAGGCAGAAACTGCAGGAGTAAACTTTTAGTTAAAGGAGCAATAGCCCTGAAAAGACTTTAATTGCACACCGTGAGGAGTAAACTTTTAGTTAAAGGAGCAATAACCCCTAAATGTCTAGGTAACACAGGCAATGCAGCTGGGTTCAGTTGTCAAAAACAAAACGTGGTAAACATTCTGTCTGAATAAACAAGGGAAGGCAACACTGAAAACCATTTTGAAGGAAAGAGCAGGTGTTGAGACAGTTGATGAATCCTGTGAGATTCAGTGTGAACGGCTCAGAGTTAATTCAAGGAGTAAGAGCAGAGGATGGTGGGGAAGGCATCTGGTCTGTCTGCCAAGACTCCAAACTGCTTGGGAAGAATTGAATGCTGATGAGGACAAATTTGTCTCTGCCCTTCTCAGGGACCAGAAGGAAGACCTGGCCGACAAGGGGAAAAAGGGAAAACTGGACTTAAGGTATGGATGCCTCTGATTCTTCTATACATGTTCCTCACCTGTCCTTTTCCTTCTGTTCTTCCCTAGTTCTCACTAAGATCATCAACCTGTGTCACTTCAGGTTGTGGGAATGAGATAGCACCGTGCTGAGACATAGGAAACCAGAATCTCATGGAGAAGGGATCCAAGGAAGCATTCTTCCGACAGGCTAGCGTGTTTGCTTGTTTAGTGTGCAGGCACGGTTTGACTCTTGGGTGGAGGCAGCTCCAGTTCTGGGGCCGGTGCCCAAGCTCGGAAGCAGCACACCTGGGCAGCAAGCCAATTGTGAGGACTAGGCCCCCCTGCTCCCCTCTCTGATGTGTGCTTGTGCTTGTGTCTCTAGGGCAGCAAAGGGCATCAGGGGCAACTTGGAGAAAGCGGCCCACCAGGCAAGATGGGATCAAAGGGGACCCAAGGCCCGAAAGGATCCAGAGGTACCCTAGGACCGATGGTGAGAATGGAGTGTTGGCTCGTTGAACACAATTGTTGCCTCTCTCAGTTACCTGTTACCTGTGCAGGGGGATCACCTCACCTTGGAGGTCTCTTCCCCTCTGGGCACCTGAACTGGTATGGATAATATTGGATCAAACGCAACAGTTTAGCCTGGCCGTACTCACTAAAACACGTTGCATTCCACTGGCAAAGTGAGCGTTTGGCTACAAGATTAATTGTCCAGCTCTTCTAAAAACCTGAACTCCAATCTAGATGTTCTTCCACCCAAGGGATTTCATGCAGCTCTTTCTACTTTCTAGTTTGTTACTTTCAACCAATTTTATTTTTGCCTTGCAGTTAAGTGTCAATACACACATTGCATTTCTGTTGTTGTGAGATGAGGCTTTTATTTGCATTCACCCCACCTCATTTATTTTCCATCACAGTTTATATGTTGCCTTATCTCCTAAAAAGCCATCCGGGGGATGTACAATTTTAACAATGAAACCTCAAGACTATACACAAAAGAGTATTGAAAACAATGCATTTTGTTAAACTACATGCATTAAAGGCCAGGGGGAAAAGATGAGTCTTAAAGGCCAAGGGTTTAGAGCCCAGTCTTAACTCTAAAACTGAGGACATAATTGCTTGAGTTCATTTATTTATACGCTTATATTCTACTAAATGGGCATTATATTCTACTAAATTAGACCCTGTTTTCTTCAGATTGTAACCCTCTCAGGTTTTGCTGCTGCTGCTTGTGTCTCATCTGTTTGCTTGTCAGGAAAAACATCTGTTAAGATAGTTGTTAAGACAATGTCTTTCGACCGTTGGCACTAGGAGCTCCAGCATGCAAGCGCTTTTGTTGAAAATTGTCTCTATCTGACCTGCTTTGTATGCTTGCTGCAGCTCACCTGTGTGGACATGCCCATTCACGCCCCCAGCCGAGGTTTTTCAGGTCATCTGTATCTGCCACGGGTGGCATGCAAACCAAAATTGGCCACGAGTTCCAGCTGGGTTGTGTCAAGAGCTGGTATTCCCCTGATCCGCCTCAATCTTCCAAAACAAGCCTTTGCAAAACAGTTCTGCATTGCCGGTTCACAACTAGCAAGCTACAGCCACTGGAAACTAGTCTCTAAGCATAAACAGAGTGATTCATTGAACACAAACTAGAAACTGCTTCCACCCCCACCCCCTTTTCGCTAGCCCTGGGGCTAATCCCCTGAATTTAAGCAGGACCTCTAACTGTATCTCTTGTCCCAGCGCTTCAGTGTGGGGTCAGGGCAAGGCCTTGTCTTCCTCCGTTCCTTGCTCCCCTCTCTTCTCTTCCAAACCCGGTCTGTTCCCAGGGTCTGTCTGAGCACCCGGGGACAATGGCCCTCCTCCCTGCCCCCTTGATTTGGACACTCCCCACTTTCGCCACAGAGCTGGTGCAACCTGGCCTTGGACACTCTGCCAAGAAAAAGGGCTTCATCCATCCTCAACAGTTCGTTAGCCACCATGAGAAGCCACCCTGGCCAGGGTAGGCTGACATGATAAACCTCAGCTAGCACACCCCTGAGTTTCCCAGCCCAGCCTGGCTGACGTCATGAGAACCCGTCCAGCATGTGTATTTGGTGGTCACTTAAGGAGATGGTCAGGTGAGAACCAGAGGTGGAGCTCCACTGGAGAGGCGTGGAAGAGTAAGGGGGACGAGCACAAATAATGCGGCAGGTACGGAGCAGGAGGTTGCTGAGCGCGTCTTCTCTCGTCCCTGCAGGGTGCTCCAGGCCGCATGGGACTCCAAGGAGAGCCTGGCTTGAAGGGCTACCAGGTGAGCTATTCTTCTGGGCACCTGGAGGCCTGCGCTTGGCTTTTCTCAGCTGTGCTGGGGTGTGCCTTGTAGGGCTGGTGCTCGCATTGGTTCTTCGGGTCACCCTATTGGGCTTGGTGGGGTCCAGCAGATGCCCCATTGGAGGCCACTCGGGCCTTTGGAAGGACGTTGAGGCAAGAGCGAGGAAAGTGGCCATACAGAGCAGACTACAGAATGTGCAAACTACGGATGGTTTATTCTTGAACGAACTAGGTTTATAAAATTGGTCTGGTTGCAGCACCAAAACATTTGGAAACACTGCCCTATGAGGAGAGACTGAGAGACCTGGGCATGTTCAGCCTTGAGAAAAGAAGACTGAGGGGGGACATGATAGTCTTCTGAGTAGAAACACAGAAACATAGAAAACAGAGTGAGTCAGAAGGGGCCTCCCGGGCCATCTAGTCTGACCTCCAGCACCAGCTGGCTCTGCTCACGACATGCCCACCATGTGGACGTCCAGCTTATCCTTGAACACCCGCACCGATGGGGCCTCAACCACCTCCCGGGGAAGCCGATTCCACACCCTCGGGGTCCTGACTGTCAGGAAGTGCTTCCTGGCATCCAAATTGAACCTTGGCTTCCTGAGCTTTGCCCCGTTGGACACAGAATAATCAATTCCAGTTGCGATAACCCAGATTCAGGCTGGATATCAGGAAAAGCTTCCTCACTGGCAGAGCAAAACGACAGTGGAACCAGCTGCCTAGAGAGGTGGGGGCTCTCCCACACTGGAGACATTCAAGGAGAAACTGGACAGCCCTCTGAGTGGGATGGTGTGACTTGGTGTCCTGCAACAGCAGGGGTTGGACCTGATGGCCTTCATGGCCCCTTCCAACTCTACTGTCCCATGATTCTATGATTTATTTGTCGGTTACCTTTACATCCAGCTTTTCTTTTGGAGAGTCCAAGGCAGCTCCATACATGACCACTGCCCTCTCCATCTTATTCTCACAACAACCCTGTGAGGTAGGCTAGAGTAAGAGACAGCGACTGGCCCAATGTCATCCGGTAGGCTCATGGATGAGTAGAAACTAGAACCCACATCTCCTGAGTCCCAGGCCAATACTCCAACCACTATACATCACTCCCAGCCCATCTCACAGGGTTCTTGTTGTGGGGATAAGATTGAGAGCAGGAGGAAGGGAATGGTGTGAGCCACTTTGAGTTAATTGGAACAAAGCAGGATATAAATCAAATCAATAAATTAAGTTTTATCAGGTGAGAGACAGAAAACCTGCTGGACTCTGTGAGCATTTTGTTCTCTTTCCCTTCCTGTGCAGGGGCACACAGGACCCCCAGGCCCAATTGGACCACCTGGATCCAAAGGTGAAAAGGTAAATGGACAGAATCTCAGAGTTGTAGTTTGAGAAAAGGAACTGGTGTAGACACGGAAGTAAACTTCCAGGGAGATCTTCCGTAAGCCAAGTCTGTAGTTAGCCTGCATTGGGGGAAGACCATGAGCCTGGTTTAGAAAGAGTGCGGTGGAGCTCAAAGGTAGAGTTGGAGACGAAACTTAGTGGAATCTGTCCCTGTAGCATTCATGGACTTCCTCCTATGCTTGGCCCAGTCTTACAAAGAAAGCCGAGAGGAAGTTGGAAACACTTGCAAAATAAAGGTTGCGCAAGCAGCGGACTTAATCTCTGCTTGAGGAGCATTCCACAAATGCTCTCCGGGAATTTAGACTGAAGGCATCCAACAGCTCCCCATCCCGATGTGGATTCTTCCACACCTGTACTCACCTGTATTGGGATCCCCAGCCCAGTATGGATTCTTCCACACCTGTACTTACCTGTATTGGGATCCCCAGCCCAGTATGGATTCTTCCACACCTGTACTCACCTGTATTGGGATTCCCCAGCCCAGTATGGATTCTTCCACACCTGTACTCACCTGTATTGGGATCCCCAGCCCCTTATGGATTCTTCCACACCTGTACTCATCTTTTCTGATAGGGTTATTAGGAACTAAAAGGATCAGGGGCTCAGACCCCTGTGGGGGAAGAATAGTCACACATAGCTAATTCATATATGCTCTAAAGCCCCCTGTGTGAGAGTCTTGAACTGGTCTTGTCTCATTAGGACCACCCCTCTATGTAAAAAAAGGACACACAGATCTATTGTCATTGGAATGGATTTCTGGACCGGAAAACTCTGCTGTAGAATTCAGAAAAGTGAGGAATTTGAAGGAAAGCTGAATTTCAGTTAATTTTGCAATAAATAGGAAACAAACTCATTTCTCTCCACACCCCCCACATCTATGAAAGTCTCACCAAGACATAACCATGGAAAAAACCTCTCTGCCTCTTAAAGAGATGGAAACTAATACTGTAAGTCCCACTGAATCAAGGAAGCCTTTCTTAAATAATTACGTAGATGATTGAGGATGTTCAGTTTATCAGACCGTTCAGTTCGGGTCTGGTTGCGATGTCTCCGTCTTTTTCCTTCCCTTGCCAAACTTATTAGATAAAAGTTTCACTAGAAAGAAGATTCTTCCCATACCAAATAATCCAGTTGGCTTAAACCTCCCAAAGTAGCCACACTGCCCTGTTGCAGGAAAAAGATAAATAAGATAAAATAAGCCACCAGTGAAGAGTTTTGCGATGCTCTAAAGAATAACAGACTTATTTTGGCCACATCTCTCATGGGCTCGGATCCACTCCTTCAGCTGTATGAACTCATCTACATAACACAAAAAATGTAAACAGTCGGGCCTAAATGTCACGAAATGCAAAAGGGATATTTATAATAGTGTTATGCAAACTGGAGTGGTGATGCGCCCACTGCTTCCAGCTGCTCCGAGGGACACTGTCCCCTTCCCCGAATTTAGGAGGCAGAACCCTCTTTTCACATTCACTCAAAACAGAGCACTGATGTTGGAGGCCAGGCAGCTTCAGGCTTGGATTCAACCTAATATTCCACATAGTGTATTTGATTACTAGCCGCACTCTACTGATTCACAACTTGAAATGTTCTTTCCAAGATTTGGAGTGTAATCTGGCATGATTGTCCCGCTCAGCAGAGTCTCTGACCATCTGTTAAAGATCTCAGCTTTTTCTTAAGAGGCACCATCATTGGAGTCTAATTCAGCTATTATTAGTTCAGTTTGTGTTTGATTCTTAGCCTTTTTCAAGAGCTGCAGGCTCTTGACTTTGTTGGAGGGAGGCCGCGTGTGGAGAGGTGGCACCCTTTCCAAATGTTAGTTGAGAGAACAATTGTGTTATTTTACTGGCTCGTCTGTGTGTCGGTGCAGGGCAACCTTGTGCTTTGCAACTGGTCGCAGTGTTGCATGAGAGTGGACTGCAGAAACGCCCTGTCCCATCTTGCTGGGTCATGTCCTATCACCCACCAGACCCTCAGAGCCTACCAGGAAAGTACTTGGAGTAGTTTCAGTCCCCATTCTCTGCCACTTAACTCTAAAGAAGATGGCTCAGTTTTATTATTTATTTATTAAAAGGGCTTTCTATACCGTCCTTCACCTTGAGTCCCAGGACGGTGATCCATAAAAGCACAGCATCATCTGAATTAACCCAGGTAAAACCCATCTTTCAGATAGCATCAACACTTAAAATATCCAGCAAAGAAAAAGCCCCGTGGCTTATCTCACAGTTCATTGACCTTGGTAATAAGCCTTCTGGCCCTGCCTTTTCTGCCCCTTCAGATTTCAAGTCTCAGATATCCACCCCAGAGTGCTACATTTTTTGGAGAAATAGGCCCAGTTCGCACTGGGTGCCTGGCCTCTGTGTAACGAATGGAGAACAGATATTTTTCTTAAGTGAACATATGCCGTTCTCAACGGGCGTGAGACAGACACGCATCACACGGAACCCAAAACACAAAGTGCAGCGTCATCCTTCTCTTGCATTTCTTTGTTCCTTGAGCCATCCTGACGCCGCCGTCTGCCCTCTGGAGCATTTTTCATCCTCTGTGATGCTCTTTCTTCCTCCCCTTAGAGCTGCCGGTTGAGTATATTTAGCACGGCGGTGAGGTCCGGCAGCTTGCACACACCCAGTTCTGCAGAGGGCGAGAGCTGTTTGGGAGACAACCTCGCCTGCTGTCCATCTCTGGATGTGACACGAATCCCGGAGAGAGCCTGCTTTCTGCTCTCCCGTGTCCCATGCCTCTTCCGAATGCAATCCGGCGTTTCGGTGCCCCTCTTCCCACTCCACACCTGCTGCCCCAGCGACTCAGCTGCTATTCCCCGGTTCCGTCTTCCCCGCCTCCCCGCCTCCCTGCTCGGGCCAAGCCCTTTCACTCAGTCAGCTTAATGATAACCAGTTCGAGGAAAAGAAATGACTCACACTTTCTTTTCCCTTTTTGCTTTTTCATGGCATTACAGCCAGGGGCCAGGGGACAGTTTCCTGCTGCCTTCTGGGATTCGCTCAGGCTTCTGGAACAGAGTTCATTCCATCAAGGCCGTATGGTTCCTCCAACGAGGGGGAAGAGGGGCAGTAAACTGAGTTGGAATCCCGTTTGGAGAACACAAGAGCTCTCTTCTAAACTCCCTCCACACATAGGCTATGCTTGCCTTCCCCAAATTGGCACTGGTGGGATGTGTTGGGTTGCAAAACCCATCATCCCCAGCTAGCACGATCGTCCAACAGCACCTCCTCACTTCTGCTGACATCCACATGTTCCAATGGCCCCTTGACACCATGGTCTATACATGGCCAGTGCACCACAAGCCCAGTTTCCCCAGTCAGCACAGGCTGTGGCTGGGAGATGCTCGAAGTTGTGGGGTACTCGGGTGGGGAGGCTACTGTAGAAGCTTGGGGGAGTCCCCTCCCCTGGCCACGTATTCTCATCTCAGGCTGGGGGGACCAGGGGCAACCTCCAGAGTGCCCAGGAACGTGACCAACTGATCAGAGCTTTGGATTCAGGTGCTCCACCTCACTCACCTTCTCATCATGCCGGCTTGCTATTCTTAGAGAGGCACGGAAGGAAAGTCAAAGGGAATCTGGGTCAGGCTTCTTTTAGAAAACCACAACCAAAAGATCTGCTGTGGGAGCATTGCCAAGGGAGCAGGGGTCTTCAGCGGAGCAGGAGGACCAGCCTTCCCCAGAGCTGTCTTCGGTCAGAAGATCTCCACAGCCTTGGCACATAGCGCTGTGGTGCAACCCGGCCGATTATCCTTCTCCTCTCAGTCCATTTACAGCTCCACAAAGCCGCCTGGCTGAGGCCAGCACTGTCCAGCTGGAGGCTTTTTACAATTGCAAACTGATGCTTCCCACCCTAGGAAAGCAGCCAAGAGCGGGAGGCCTTCCCCCGGCCTTGCCTTCTCCATTTGTAGTCAGAGCATGTTTGTTCTCTCGGCACTCGAGCCTTTTCTTTCGAACTTTGACTTCAGCCAAGCGGGGAGGAAGCTCCAAAGCCCACCATGAATTAAGGGGGGCGGCGAGCCTGTTGCACACACGCACCTCCGTGGCATCCTCAGGTTACGCAGCACCTGGGTTGGACTCCCTCGGGCCATGTGTGGGCAGGGAGGGCCTCGGGGCCAGGGGCACTGGCTTGTGTGCCTTTTTTGGGCCTTTTGTGTGGCTCGGGAAGTGCCTTTTGCTCTGCCCAGAGTGGCACGCATTGTGGGCCATGGCTTGTCTTGCCACTGTGTTTTATGTTTGCAGGGAGAACAAGGCGACGATGGGAAGATTGAGGGCCCTCCTGGATCACCTGGAGACAGAGTGAGCTGTTTATCCTTCCCAGGGGAAATGCTTTAGAATCACACCTCCCATGAGACAAGTTCAGCCTTGTTCCCAGGACTTGCCTAGGCCTGCGTTGGGCTGCGTTCTGCTGTGGTGGCGAGGTGGACTTTGCTTGCGTTGTGTTGTCCAGCTAAAACTCCCGCAAGCAGAAAGGTAGCTTGACAGGGAGAGGCCTTGTGGATTGTCAGGGCAACCCTGAGATGGGTGAATGATCCCCAAAGGTATTTTTGGCACCTGATCCAGAAGACCCCACAAGACCTCCTTGTCCTCCCTGCCAGTAGAAGTGCACCCATAAAAATTCAGGAGCGAACAGGTTGCAGCCATGCTGCATCACCAAAACACGTTTGTCTGTGGAGGCTGCCTCACTCTGCCTAGCGGTAGGGCCGTTAGTCTGGCCCCACGATCGGCTTTTGGGGGCCGTGTGGGTTTTCCTGCTGCAAGAAGGGCTTTCTTTTTCCACCTCTCCTCAATAAGCCCAGGGGAGCTGAAAACGAAAGCCCAAGCAGCAACAAAGCTGTTTTGCAAACAGACTGGTGGCAAGAAGGTCAAGCTCTCTTCTCGCTGATGCCAGAGCGTAGGACACGGAATACTCAGTTCAAGTTGCAACAACCCAGATTCAGGCTGGACATCAGGAGAAGCTTCCTCACGGTCAGAGCAATGCGGCAGTGGGACCGGCTGCCTGAGGAGGTGGGGGGCTCTCCCACACTGGAGGCATTCAAGGAGAAACTGGGCAGCCCTCTGAGTGGGATGGTGTGACCTGGTGTCCTGCAACAGCAGGGGGTTGGACTAGATGGCCTTCATGGCCCCTTCCATCTCCACTATTCCATGATTCTATGATTCTAACAAGTATGTTTAGGTGTTTCTGCACAGACCTGCAGTTCCAGGTCCATATGGAGCAGAGCTGTGTGTGTGTTATCTCACTTTCCATGCATCTTTATTTAAAACAAAACTTCCCCAATCGACCAGCCACAGTTTTATCGACATAATCTGATTTTAATTCAACATTTCTGCATAATTCGGAATGGGATTCTGCATTTCAGTGATGAGGAAGTAACCCTAAAAGTTCCCACTGTTGAGCTTGGGCCACAGGTTGTGATGATCTCTTTTGCTAGGGCAGGGAAATGTGTGGTAATCCTGGGCTTAATTTGCACAAGTCGCATAAAGGAGGTTTTCATACATGCGCACAGACTGACAGAGCTGTGACCAGCTTAGAACCGACAGCTGCCAAACTCCCGCAGCTCAGCTCACTGTTGGCTCTGGAGCTGGTGAAGTACCAAAAGCGCACCAACAGCAAGCAGGTCAGCGTCCTCCATCACCAAGATGGGGCCAGTTGGGCCTCCTTGGAAAGGAATTTCTGCAACCGGAGGCCCCCTCTGAGCAGCCCCTGCTTCTGGTGGCATCTTCTAACGTGGTCGGGAAATGCAGGCGCTCAGTTTGGAGGGTGAAGTTGCCTTCCACGTCCCCCTCACCTTTTCCTTGTGTTCTCCTAGGGTCCCCCCGGTGACAGAGGTGACCGTGGCGAGTCCGGAGACCCTGGTTATCCTGTGAGTCCTTCTCCAAATACCTGGTTAGGAAATTAACCATCTTGGGAAAAGTTACCACTGCTCCGTAATGTTCGGTCTCTCTGGCCTACTGTTCCCGCGGTCCTTTCAATCACAGCTTCCATCAGGGGCAGGGAGCTTGTGAGTCTGAGTGCCTTGATAGCCCCTGACCAACCACTCAGTCGCCCTGTCTCACTGCAGTGACTAAGTCACGCCAGAGGAGCCGGGCCAGGGAGCCGGGTCAGGAAAATGCAGCTCACTTCCCACTGTCACTCCGGGAGAGCCACCTTTGTGCTGGCTCGTCCTCAGCTGTGCCTAGGACTCCTCAGTGCTGAATGCAAGGAAGAGAGGCAGACACTCTTTAAGCGATGGGCTGCCGGGCAAGAAGGCACTCCGGCAGAGGGAAGCCATGGTGCTGCAGACTGGAGCCATGGCAAGAGGCAGGAGCGGCTGCGCGGAGCGAAAGCGAGCATCCGTGTGCCAGGGATGGATCGCCATCGTCTTTTCCGTCTTTTCCTGCTTCTCCTGGTTGTGCAGTGGCTTCTCCTGCCAGGAGAGGGCAAGTCTGCTTGGGCCTTCCACAGGCACAGGAGTTCTCCGGAGCAAACGCTGCATGATTCCTTGCTTTGTGATCGCGGACATCTGTCTCCTCCGCGTCAGTCGGGCCTGGGGGCAGGCGCTGGGAATGTCAGGCCCCGTGTCCGCATCACTGATCCCCGAGTCTTGATTGTGAAGTAACTAAAGTCGCATGAGAATTTCAGCCTTGCTTGTGAAACACGCAGGCATGCCCTGTTTGATGCCCAAGCACCATGGGGATGATGGGCCTGCAGAAAATGCGGCCAAAGTGCCAGCAATGTGCCCACGTTCTGTTTGCACCAACCTTCCCGGTTCCTCCTAATTTGCACTCATTTCCCCTGGAGGCGGAATTCAGCCTTGCTTTAGTTTAGGGAGGAAAAGCTCTGCAACATGGGTGGGAGGTTTCTCCGGCCTGTTTGCACCGTTTTCCTGTTCGTGCAGAGCAAGCCAAAGTCGCGAAGGAGCCGGGGCTGAGCGGCTGAGATGCTGCTCGAACGACCCCCGTTTGCCCACCGTGAGGGGCTCTGCTGGATGCCCTCCGTCTGACCCACCGGATGGGCTGGGCCACAGAGCAAAGGCAGTAGCGATGCTAGGAGCAGGGAGGGGGTTTTGCTGAAATGTTGAGCCCTGGCAGGATTTGGTCCAAGCATCCTTTTCAGCTGCACCTGGTTCGGTCCGTCGAACTCGCTGCCCACAGCACACCAGCGCCTCCCAAGACTTTTCTGAGGCAAACAGTAAAAGCACGAAAGTTCATATTCCTGACGGCACGCAAACGTCGCTTCCGCCGCACCAAGTTCCTTGTTCTACCAGCGCACAAAACGTGCATAGCTGCCCTTTAGAGACAGTCCCTGCCCATGGTTTCCCTGAACACCTGGAACTCACACTGGAACTCGCTGCCAGGGTGACAGAGCTTTGCTGGATCCGTCCACAATGCGCTGTTGATTGAGGACCGATTGCGCCGGGAGCTCTTGTTCTCCCCGCAGAAAGTATCTCTGCTGAAAGATTAACTTTGTTCCTCCCTCTTGCTTCCTTCTAGGGTCAAGAAGGCCTCGATGGGGAAAGAGGAAGCCCTGGGCAAGAAGGTTTACTTGTAAGAACCCTTTGGTGGCGTTTGCCTTTGCTGATATAGACTGCACTTGCCTGTTTGTTGAGAAGTGTGTCTCTGTGTTCCGTGATCGAGTTCAGGGTTGGGCCACCTCCAGAGCCTGCCGGACCCCAATCCCATCATCCCCAGATGGCACGGCCGAGGCTGGGGCTGATGGGAGCTGCAGTCCAACAGCATCTGGCCAGCCAGTTCCCCAGCCCAAGTCATTGTGCTGCTTGAAGGTCTTAAGAAGAAACAGGCTTTGGATTCTGAACTTTGCAGAATGGGGCCCCAGCACATTTGCTAATCGTTACAATCAGGTTTGCTTGAATTTCACAGTCTGTCTAGGAGCAATGGTAGGTGCCAAGAAGCAGGCCAGAGCCTGGATTCATCGAAGCCAGCTATACCTACACTGACTGGGAGCCCAGGCTAACAGGACTCCTTCCCAGCCCTAACTGGAGATGAACCTGGGGCCTTTGGCATGCAGTGCACCTGGTCCTGAGCTCACCTAAATGCAAACAAGAGTCTAGTCCTCATGGTTCTGAATAAAGAGAGGGTTTGGTGAACAAGGTACATGAGAAACTGCTTGATATGGAATCGCACCGCTGGTGTATCCAACTCAGGATTGCTGAAACTGAGGAACAGCAGACCCTGGGCATCAAAGAGGGGTGCCTCCCCACCCTCAGTGCAGATCCTGGAGACCAAACAGGAAAACTTCTGCTTGTGCTCTACCACTGAGCCATTGTTCTTCATCTCAAAGCAAAACAAGATTCCAGTCCTCAGGGTTCCAGATAAAGAGCTGAATTACCTAGGAGCAAAAGAAACTGACCGAATCAGACCCTTGGTCCACCCAGTTCAATATTATCTCAGGGGTTCCAGACAGGGATCTTTCTGAGGCTGTTGGGAGATCCCGGATGCCAGACCTGGAATCTTTGGCAGAGAAAGCATGGCCTCTAAGCCGGAGCAACGGTCATTCCCCTTCCAGAGCAAGCCAAATTCTGCACACGGGAGGGGCTTGGATCAGTGCTGTGAGACATGCAGCAGGTGCACTGACCCCCAGGCTCTCCAGTTAGGGGGCAGGGCAGAGAAAGCCCCTGCATGAAACCTTACGGGCATCCATGGCAGCTGGACTGCAGGCCAGGCAGTGCTGCCAAGACCGTGCTAGACCAGGACACGTGACGAATTTCATTCTGTGCCCATTCTGTAAACTTTTGTGCTTGCACACACAAGCACAAGCAGCCACGCCACTCCTCGGGAATGGTGGCCATTTTCGACACTCGCATTCCAGTTTGAGAAGTGCACAGCCTGGGGTGTGATGCTCACTTCCGAAAATGTGAGCTGCCTACACCCGAAAATGTAGCTGCCTACACCCGTGTAGTCCCCTGCAAAACCTGTTTTGACGCCCTCAGCCCAGGAGGAAAGGTTGCACGCTGCTCATTTTTCACGATTGTTTACCATTTGCAAGCACCGCATATTAAAAATGGAGATTTTTCACGAGTTAAAAAAAGGCGCGGTCCTTGCATTTGGAAATGAGCTGTGAGGAAGAATTCCAAATTCTTTTGGGGCTTGAAAATGATATGTCCATTCATCCAATGCAATATAAGATGGGTTTCTATACTCGCAAGGTACCTATTCCTAAAATAAAGGCAGGTGGGGCCATCCAAGGAGAGGAAGCTTACCGAGGCTCACCTTGCTGTGGAGCCAACCCCCAGAGCATCCCAGAGGCCTGCTGTCGAGCTGTGTCCCCCAAACTGCCTCCAAGAACCCTGCAGACCTTCTCCTTTATGTCTAAGGGGGTCCCCAAAGTTTCAGCTCAAGCTCCGGTTCCTGCCCTCAGACACTGGATTCGCTGCTTCTTCCTGGGATCCACACGTGTCTCTCTGCCTGAGCTGGACACACAGCAAAAGTTGCTTCTTCCAGGTCGTCCCACCTGGCTGGTGTTGTCACAGACCTGGTAAACTCTGCTCTTGGTCCTCTGCTGAAGGGATCGGCCAGAAGGAAATGCTCCTGTGGGTGCTTCCAGTCTCCTCTCTTCTTGTTTTCCTGCAGGGCCACCTGGGACCACCAGGCCAGCCTGGGCTGAAAGGATCTAAAGGCAGTCTGGTATGTTTGGGAGACGGCAGGGCAAGAGGCATCTTCTCCCAGTGGGCTGGCCCTGACAGGGACAGAGAAAACATGGTAGCCAGGGAGTCTGCTATTCCTGGGGCCTGTCAGCTCGTTGTCCAAGATGCAGTCAGTTTGTGTCTGGGCTTTTCCGCTTCAGACCACAGCTGGAGGCTTGCGGGACTGAAGTAAGGACGCTGTAGTCAGGGATCCGTTCATGAAGCGAAGGGTGCCCTTTTGGCTCAGGTTGCAAACCAAAGCAACCAGCGGTCTTTCTCAATTGGTGCCCTTTCCAATTTTGCCTTGGTGCTCTCCACTTTCTTAGCTGCAGTCTTGTCTGTTGTGGTGGGGGGAGGGGTTCCTCCCCCTGAAATGGAGATGGTTTCCTCCTGTAATGCAAAGTATTTTGACCTGGCTCAGTCTTGAATGGGCAGTTAAGCTTGACTGCAGACTGGCTCCTGGTGGTGAAGGTCTTGGTTGATATGGACTAGCTGCCTGAATTTTGGGGCTCTTCAAAAGGCTGTGGCAGCTGTCACCATGCATGGTGGTCCTTCGGAAGGGACTGCTGTGCCACAGCCGAAGGGGGCTGAATTTTGGACTTGGCTACGTCCCTACCCAAAATGCCAGGAGCAAAGAAGTCTATTGCCTTCTCCATCATCTCTGTCTCTCTCTCTTTCCAAATGGGCTTGGGCCTTTCCACATCTGTGCCGTTCAAATTCAACAGTTTTTCACTGTTTCCCTGCATCACCAAAGGCTGCCCTCCTGGCCCAGAAGGAGCGGCTCGACTCGTGGTCCGTCCTGGCTCAAAGTTCAGTGGAATCTCTGCTCTCGGAGCCTTCCCAGTCTCCCAGTGCAGCGACGGAGGCTTCCTTTATGGGAAATGGAGGTCGCAATTGCCTCTCCTCACCCGGCCTCCCAAACCTACTCAGCACTCCTGGATTTTCCCAGCATGTGGAAGGGCTGCCCTCCAGCCCAACTCCAAAAAGTGCTCGGCAGTAAATGGGGAGAGTAGAAAGTTTCGGGAGAAATTTGCGGCCCACTGCAGTACACGTCCCCCCTCACTCCTCTCAGAGCACCAGCTCATGTTTCATGTGCTTGGCAGGGATCCCCGAAGGCTGCAGCTGGGGAAGAGAGATGCAGAAAGGCCTCCATGTTTTAGAAAAACCAGTGTGCTCACACAGACGGAGCCGTGTGGCTTCATAAACGAAGTGGGAGTTTGACTTTCTTTCCTATTTCTTTTTGAAGCAGCTTAGACTGGGCTTCCCCAGCCAGGAGTCCCCCAGAGGTGCTTGGCTGCTCCCAAACAGGAGGCTGGTGCTTAGCTCCGTTTTGCAAAAAGGGGTCTGGGGGAAGCGAGCACTGAGGACCTGCCAAGGTTTCCTTCAGCCACAAAGTGCCCTCCCTAGCCATTTTGGGGCAGAACATCGTGGGCATCCTGGCATCAGGAAGGGCCGCATGCAGTTTTGCAACCGAGAGCTGGGCTCCAAAGAGTGCGCTTGGCTTTGCAACTGCTGCTGTATATTTCCCAGACTATCAAAAAGAATCTCACACTGGGGAGACGATGCCACGCTCACATGCACGCACGCCTCAAATCTAGATGCTGAGCAGGAATGGGAGATTTCTGGAACCAGGGTGGCATTGGGCATTTTTCCTTCTCCTCCCAAGGGTCAGAAAGGAAAGCCGGGTTTGCAGGGAGCCAGAGGGAGCCATGGCCCACCGGTAAGTGCGAAGGCACCGTCCCTTCCCTTCCCTTCCCTTCCCTTCCCTTCCCTTCCCTTCCCTTCCCTTCCCTTCCCTTCCCTTCCCTTCCCCACCAGTTCAGGAAGTGTGGGTGGGAGTTCCGGAGCAGGAGCGGCAGACGCATGTGCGAACCCTGCCCCACTGTTCCCGTTCTCTCGAGCCGCCACGTTCTCCCCGCAAGGTGCAGAAGAGCTGCACGCGGTGTCCTGGGGCTCGCTCACCTGCGGACGCAAGATTTTAAGCGCCGCCGGGCCAATTCTGCCCTGGGGTGTCCCATTTTGGAGCAGCCGGGCCGTGTGTCCAGGGAGGCCAGCCAGGGGGCTCGCTGGGTCGGCTGCCCTGTCCCCCAGCCCGAGATCGTCCGTCACAGCATCTCTTTCTGTCTGCAGGGTCTTGTGGGCTTGCCTGGTCCTCGAGGAGTCGTGGGGAGGCAGGGCCAAGAGGGCCCCCCCGGGCTTGACGGCATTCCCGGGAAAGACGGAGGCCTGGGGCAAAAGGTAAGCCTGAGTTTATCGCGCGATCCTGGCAGGATCTGTGTCTTCATTCAAATTTTGATTTTTATACACCCTTTGTCATTACAAGCCCATGTCCACCACCACTGGATTGCCTTTGATGCTAGTGAAGTACTGAAATTTGAAAAATAAGAATACATAAGATAAGTCAATGACTACTTGCAGTGCAGGACATCACCTTTAGTAGCACTGCTACTGTAGAAGTGAGCACTTCACACACACACACACACACACACACACCACCCGCACTTCTAAATGCAGTATTGCAGCTGCCCCATGTCTGTTGTACCACCTATTTTCACCTCTGAGTTCTGTTGGCTGGCGTGTTTTTCTCAGCATGGGCTAGAAAGTCAGCAGGGAAGTGGGACCGTAGCTCCTTTTTAACATTCATAAGATTGGGGGCCGTCCACACTTCCTTCCAAGCAACAGGAGGAAGAAGTAGGGAAAGGTGTTTTAGCTGTTCCCTGCCGGGCTACTTTTCTACCTGCGAGGAGGGTTAATCTTTTGTTGTTGTGTTTATCCATGGATGCATTCCAAAACGGGGTTCAATTTGGATGCCAGGAAGCACTTCCTGACAGTTGGGACCCCGAGGGTGTGGAATGGGCTTCCACGGGGGGTGGTTGAGGCCCCATCGGTGCGGGTGTTCAAGGATAGGCTGGGCGTCCACATGGTGGGCATGTCGTGAGCGGAGCCGTCTGGAGCCGGGGGTCAGACTAGATGGCCCGGGAGACCCCTTCTGACTCGCCCTGTTTTGATGCTTCTATGATTCTCACCCCCATCATCAGTGCTGTTTACCAGGAAGAGTGTTGGGTTTAGACTCGGGAGACCCGGGTTCTAGTCCTCACTTGGCCATGAAACTCGCAGCACAACTTTGGGCCGGTCGTGGACTCTCAGTCCAATCCACCTCACAGGATTGTTGTGAGGATAAAAATGAAGATGCAGTGGATCTTCCGGTGAGCCATCTTGGATTCCCTGGAGGGAAAACAAGCCATATAATGACTACGGGGCACATGGATGGCTTTCTGCAAAGCAACTGCATCCTGTGTCACATGCTGCGCTTGTGACATTTCAAGAACAGAAGTGTCAGAGACAGCCAGAAATGTCCTGCAGGTATCAGGATCAGAGGACATGGGCTGCCCCTCTGGAGAGGAAGAATCTGTTTTCAGCAGCCTTCCAAGCACCCTCTTCAGAGAACATGTTTACTGTGCGATGCCAAGGTTTACGGTCGCTGTGTTTGTTATCTAAATATGAACAATGATGGACTGGATATTTTCTCTGCTCTTCCCCCAACCCAAATTAGGGCGAACAAGGTGAGGATGGAGACGAGGGCACGCCAGGAATATCAGGGAATAGAGGGAATCCCGGTGTGCTTGGACTTCCAGGGGCTCAGGGCCCCCCAGGATTCAAGGTCTGTATCTGCCCATTTGCTCTAGTCGAATTACTTACTACCCTCGGAGAGCTGGGGGTTTGCAGCGTCACCAGAGCCGTGCCGGTGAAGCGAGGGCATCGCTGCTCAGCTCTCCCTCGTCTTCACCCGTGTTGTTTTTGGAGAGAGTGCTTGATTGGAAATGCAGTAGGCGGTGCTGCAGTCCAAAAGGAGGAGAAGATGGATACGTTTATTTCTGGTCTGCGTTAGCCTTGCTTGTGTTTATTCATAAGTTTGCTCCATCCCGTTTCCACTCCTTTCAGGTGTGCGTGACTTGCATTCACATTTTTTCCACATCGCTCCCTATGCATTCTCCCCTCAAACATGGGGTTTGGGACCCTTTGAGCACAAGAGCTGCCCCGCAAATTTCGGAGAAGTGGCGGAAAGCAAGGGACGGCTGTGTGCCAGGGCGTATATTGCTCTGCCCCATCTCCTGCAGCTCAGCCCCTTCCATTCAGTCTGGAGGGTCCCACTGCTTCAGAGGCATTGCTGGTCCCCGGCCTTAGAAACAGAGAAACAGAGCGAGTCAGAAGGGGCCTCCCGGGCCATCTCGTCTGACCTCCGGCTCCAGCCGGCTCCGCTCACGACATGCCCACCATGTGGACGTCCAGCCTGTCCTTGAGCACCCTCACTAATGGGGCCTCAATGACCTCCTGTGGAAGCCCATTCCAGACCCTCGAGGTCCTAACTGTCAGGAAGTGCTTCCTGGCATCTAAGAAGCATCTGAAGGCGTGTGTGCTGGCCACCAATACAGACGCACCGTTCATCTCCTCATCCCATCAGAGCAGCCTGGCTGAAGCTGCGGCTAGAGCCAAGTTCTCCTCTTTTTCGTGGACACTGATGTCCACCCCGTCTCACTCCTACCTGCTACATCCCAACTTTTCCCTAGCCAAAGAAGCAGGGACTTTTCAGGAATGGCCCCATTGTTGTGGAACTCCACCCCCACAGGATGGTGCCTTGCTTTTCAATGAGCCTGAAATGCTTTTTTTATCCTTTGATATGGGTGGTGCTTGTGAGGAAGTGCAAAATGGTGCTTTTTTTCTGCTGGCTGGGACTGGGCTGCTTACTATGTGTAAAGTATTCTATATATGTTTTAGGTTTTAAAATGGAATATAGATGGGTGGTTGCTGAGGTGGAATTACAAGGTATTTTATTTGGTTATGTTGCAAGCTACTTTCTGATTGCATGCCAAAGTGGGATATAAATTCTTCCATCAGTCTACCCATACATCCCATTGGAAGAATTAATTTTCTCCACCCTATATTTAACATTTCCCTCTTCATGCTCCTGATTAACCCAAGGTTCCCTGAAGATGTTTTTGACTGCAGTTCCCAGAATTTTTGCGTGTTGGACTTGCTGACCGTGGCTGATGGGAACTGAAGTCCAAAAGAGCTGGAGGGCACCAAGTTGTGGTCCTCTGAGGATATTGGGCTACCCCTCCCATTATCCTTGGAGGGGGTGGGAGTTGTAAGCTGATCATGCGGGGGGGGGGGCGGGGGGGCAGGGGTAGGAAAGGCTGGATTCCAGGAGTTGCCAACAGCTCTCTCTGGTTCCCAGCAAGAGTCTCCCCTGGCTCCACCTGGAGATGTTAGGGGTGGAAGCTGGGATCCTCTGCATACAAAACACAGACTCCAGGATCAAGGTACAGGCCTTCCTCTTAAGTTCTCCAGGCTTTTTTGCTTCTGTCGTGTTGTCTTTTGAACTGCTAAAAACTGCTCATTTGGAATATTGTGTCCAGTTCTGGGCACCAAGATTGAAGAAAGTTGCAGAAAAATTAGAAAGAGTCCAGAGGGAGGGCAGCAGAAATGATCCAGGGTTTGGAAACACTGTCCAGGGAGGAGAGACTGAGGGAACTGGGCATATTCAGCCTTGAGAAGAGAAGACTGAGAGGGGACATGAAATCCCTCTAGAAGTCCCTCAAAGGTGGTCACAAAGAGGAAGGTCAAGATCTCTTCTCGCTGATGCCTGAGCGTAGGACACGGAACAATCAACTCATGTTGCTGCAACCCAGGTTCAGTCCTAGATATCAGGAAAAGTTTCCTTGCTGTCAGAGCAATGCGACAGTGGAACCAGCTGCCCGGAGAGGTGGGGGCTCTCCCACACTGGAGACATTCAAGGAGAAACTGGACAGCCCTCTGAGTGAGATGGTGTGACTTGGTGTCCTGCAACAGCAGGGGGTTGGACCTGATGGCCTTCATGGCCCCTTCCAACTCCACTGTTCTATGATTCTTGATTCTTTGGATCTCTGAAAAATGGGGGGAAGATCCCAAACAGGAGGGCTGCATGGAGGAGCTATGGCTGGGTGGATGGGATCCACTTAAGCGTGCCTTAACACAAGACTTTTCAGCTGTCCTTTACTGCCCCCTAATGATTGCAGTTAGAACTACAGCCCAAGGCTTCCAGGCAGGGGGGTTTGGGTGCTACCAGTCAAAAGGGGCTTACAGACCTGTTTTCTCCTCCCCATTTTTTTCAAGTTAGTAAAAAAGGTAGAAAGCAAGATACGGGGGGATTACCAATGGAAGGCATGAAGGTCCCCTCGTAATCACTACAATGCCATCTTTGGAGCAGAGTGCTTGCTTGTAGGGTAAAAACCTTCTCCAGGAGCCATTAAGAATCAAGAGCTGGGGGCATCTGTCAAAAGAGGTGCATCAGCCAAACTTGACAAAGCTCTGGATGAAGCGGACAAGCTGAGGTGAAACCCAGTCGAGATGGAGATGTGTCTGGCTGCTAGGACATCGGGATGCGCCGTATCCTCAGCCGGGCTGCCTTTCCCAGAAGGTTCAGATCCATCAGTCAGCAGCGCTGCCAGATCCTACACTGACCCAAGGCGGATAGGGGGCGGTTGTCCACAAGGAGTGCAGTGGCTCGGGGCGCCCCCCTGTGATCCTTCCTGAACTGTTCGCCTGTGGACGTGGTTGCCCATGCCCTGCTCACATCCCCTCTGGCCGAGTGCAGCACACTCTTTGCACAGCTAAAGACGGTACAGAAGTTCAGGTCAGTGCGGAATCTGGCAGGGGAGCCAACGCAGCGATCTGGCCCGTGGTCTGCCATATTGCATTCATTCTGAAAGCACTTCTCTGGTTGCCGGCTGTTTTCCAGACACAATGTCGGTTTTGACATTTAAAGCCCTAAATAGCTTTGGCTCTGGATATCTCAGGGGCCATGCGTGTCCCGATGGACCCAGTCTGCTTATCAGATCCATAAGAGATTCCCTTTCGGAGAAGCCCATTTGCCTGGCCCCGCTCCCTCCAAAACTGCGGAAGATGCTCTCTCGAGGACCTCGGAGATGGGACTCTGAAGAACCCTTTGGCCTCTCGAGCCACGTCAGGACGCCATAAGATTATTCCCTAAATGTGTTATTTTTTTACATTCCTTTTACTGTGAGTTTCACCCAAACAAAATCTTAATAAAACAAATCAAGAAACTAAACTAAACAAGCATTATCTTCCCCTGCATTTGGTGATCGCTCTGATTAAATATACAAATAACTGCAACTCCAGACGTTTCAATTGTATATATACGTTTCCTCAACGGCAGACTAAATACCTGTGTGTGTGTGTGTGTGCGTCACACAAATGTTGACAATGCAATCCAAGCGTTCCGTTTTAGCATGGATACTGCCTGTTCCCACATACCTCGCAAAGGAGCAGGTTACGGGTGAGGCATGAGGAGAAAGGTTGCAGTTTTGCTCCTGTGCTGCTTTCGTGGGCGAGTTGGTGCCCAAGTGCTGGATTTCTTCCAGCGATGTGCAGGCTTGTGGGATTCTTTCGGCAGCTTGTGGGGGCATTCCTTCCTCACCCCCCCACGCCATGTAGGGTCTGGGGAAGGATTTCAAGCGGCCAGTGTAGCCATTCTGTCTCCAGCGCCAGAGCCCAACCAGCTCCGCTGCAGCACGACCCACCGAGAGCAAGTTTCGCTGAGTTTTCCTCTGGATAGAACTGACGCTTTTCTCCCTTTGCTTGCAGGGAGAAAGGGGATTACTTGGACAGGCTGGCCCCTTGGGAAAACGAGGCCCCCCAGGAGGGATGGGTCTTCCCGGAATCCCTGGTGAGCCTGGATCAAAGGGGCAGCAGGTGAGTGGAGGGGTTGCTTCCATGACCATTTCTCTAGGGCTGAACGGAGAAACATGATAATTAGCAGCCAAGGTGATGCTGTGGTTGGAGTAGGGAAAGGAAAGCTGGGGGGGGGGGGGGGAGGGGGGACCCGAGGGGGGGAGGGACGTCAGGCAGTGCTGGGCAGGGGAAATGGATGGCATGCTGGTGGGGGTGCCCTAAACGAGGGGCTCAGAGAGAGAGAGAGAAGGGGTCTTAGGAGGCGAGCGAGGGAGGGAGAGAGCAGGAACGGCGCTGCAGAAGGAGAGAGAATGAAAAGGGGCTGGAAGAACTGGAGAGATGGGCAGAGGGCCCCCCCAAAAAGCAGTGTCTGGCTCAGTGCTGAAATGCAGCCCCCCAACTCATTATCCCCCAAGGAAAGTGGCCATGGAGAGGGTTCTCCCTCCCCTGGACCACCCCCAGGGTGGGGAAGGTTCCGACGCCCACCCCTCCTTGCCTTCCCCACCTCACAGGGTTGTCGTGAGGAGTCACACAGGGGGAAGAGAACCCCACACTCCAAATGGAGCATAGCAGCTGTGTGCTGTGAACGAACAGGCCTGTCAAAAGTCAAGGTGGTGGTGATGGCGGCGGCCACGCCAGCCAGGGACTGAGTCCCGCCATCCGAGCCAGGTCTGCTCGGAAGTAAACGCAGCCGAGCGCCACGGGACTTCTGCCAGGCAGTGGCCCTGCACAGCTGCAGCCTTGGCCTGTGCACCACGTCACGTGGCCTGGGAATATCACCAGCAAGCAAACTGGTCTTGCAGAGTAGGTGATCCTTATCGGTTGCAATGAACAAGGCCCGGCCCCCGGCTCCAAGGGGCTGGCTTGGCTCCGAACGAGCAGAGCTATTTCCCAAACAGCCGTGCCAGAGAGGAATTTGGGCAGCGCATGTCGCAGCTCGTATTTCAGGCAAACATTGCAATTCTGCAAGATTCATGTTTCTGAGACAGGAAATAGGAGTCCCGGTGGGATCGCCTGAAAAGCTGCCCCTTTTCGTAGCTGCATTCATAGGCTGTGAGATTATGCTTTGGAGGCGGGGGATGTTTCAGGTGTGGGGTGAATTTTGATGATGGGGGCTTGAAACGTGCCAGCACTTTTTCCAGCTCGCTCCTGGCCTTCCAGAATCGCCAAACTACAATGCAGTAGCTGTGCTGGCTCAGGCTGATGGGTCTTGTAGGCCAGCCACAGATGGAGGGCCACAAATTGCCCACTCCTGCTTTAACTCGCCCTGTGATGCTCTGTATGAAAATGATTGAATGTTTTTTACAGAGCAGAATGTTCCAAAATGCAGTGCCAAAACTGCATTTTGAAGGGGTGTAGGCCAGGCTACTGGATGTGTCATTTAGTGCTCCTATTGAGACTAATTTCATGCTGGGTGGGTTTGGATGTCATACGCAACAGCCCTGTGAATAAGTCACCCCAGGTTGGATGTTTGCTAAACAGCCCCAAATTAGGGAATTCAGAAAAATCCACAGTGGCCTCAAATGACTGCAGATCGCTTCTAGTTCCTTCCTTAGGGCTGCTGAACAAAATTAATTTTCCAAGTCCTTATGAATGCAGTAACGCCTCCGCCAACTCTTTCGGAAATGGAAACTGGTTTTGAAGAAGAGTACTGCACTGGCTCTCTGAACTTTAGCCAAGCTTTCCTGTATTTCTTTCTCTGATATTTAGCCCAGTCTGCCGATAGCTTTCCTTATTAAAGCTGTCCTTGTCAATTTCCTCCTCCGAGCATCCCTCTGCCGCCCTCTTCACCTTTTGCAGCTGCTAAACACTATTTTTAAAAGTGCTGTTTCACATTGCACCAGAGTAAGAACACCTGCTCGAAAGTGTTTCAGATGGCAAAAGATTCTTGGTTTATTTTGATGCAGCAGATTAACATAGTTTCCCCCCTGGAATTATTTCTTTTAGAGGATAATTTTCTTGCAAATTGAAAAATTATTTCAGCAGTTAAAAAAATGACTCTGGGAAGATTTGTTCTTCCACTTGCTTTGCCACTTAAATTCCCTCTCCTTCATGGAACCTTAGAAAGCAAGTCACACATCTTAGCTTCCAGACAGGGCCTGGCCATGCCAAAACATCTCATGAGCACGGCAGGAAAAGTTTTCCAAACGCTGACAGCTATTAGGACTCTGGAACAGACCCTGCAACCAAAAGTGGTGGAAACCCCGGCATTTGAGTCATTCACAACCGAGCCGAACAAGCCCCTTCGGAATATCGTAGCTGAGGCTGACGGCCATAAAAGGGTTGTTTCCACGGATAATTCTATGACTCACAGAGGGTCGTTTTGGCCCTCGTTTCTCTTCTGAATGTTCCAGCCATCCGTCCCATTCCCTGTTCAAAGGTCAGGAGATTGAAAAGCTTGTCCTGCGGACATAAAATATAGGGCGTGCTTTTCATGCAGAACCTTGGTCATGTCCCTCAGCGCAGCCTCATGGCTTTGCGCTCTCGGTATGAGGACCTTTCCAAGCCTAGAGGGGTATGGTGTGGGAAAACTCAGTCACTAGAGAGAGCGAGTTCGCTTTCTGATCGCCAAAGGGATCCCACGGAATTCGCTCATCAGAACTCGGCGGGGCTGTTGCAGATGTTTCAGGGTTAGAAATACCTGCCATTAGTGATGTCGACGGCGGCTTCTTTCAGCACTTTGCCAAAGAAAACCCCCTTTTGCTCCCAAAATGGGTTTCCTCCTTGGCCATTTGCTGCCATCTTGTTTTCCCTCTGCAGGCCATGGAATCAGCATCATTATGGCACCGTCTGTGTGTGTGTGTGTGTGAGGGAGGGGGAGAGAGAGAGAGAGAGAATGAGAATGGAGGTCCTCCATGGGTACCTTCCATACCCCATCCCTGTGTTCTGGAATGATGCTTGTTTATGGTCTTGCTAGGCCCCTTCTGACCGACAGTATGATTCATTCAGTTCTATGACCCCTGAGATATTGAATGCCTGCCCCAGAAGTCCTGGCTCATTTTCCTCCTTTGAGCAGCAGATCAAAACTGGTGCTCATTCAGCCTTCAATTTAGGTTCCTAAACCGACAGCAGTCGCAACTGCTTTTTGTTGTCTTTTGCAGAACCTTTTCCTCTTTATCCTGTAACTGTATTAATTTTTAAAACATGTAAAATGCTTCTGAAAGCCCTCTTACAAAGTTATCTTCTTTAAATGTCCCAAATATCTGAGCAACATAGTTTGGGCTTGTCGTTATATCCTTATCTCAATTTTTCTGAAATCAGAAAAAGCGTCCCATCTCCAATCCGTACATCTTTAAAAAAAAAAAAAAAAACCCAAAGACGAACAAGCGAGTCCTTAGGATGTTGACAGACTGTAGACCATATGTAAGCTAGCATATGTGGATTTGTGTTTAAAAAAAAACACCCCGTCCCCAGCACTGCTTCTGCTTGGTGCGCTGCCACATAAAGCATCGAATTAGCCCCTGCAGAGAACGGGATGCTGGAATGATGCATAGTGACAAGATAGGGCCAGCGTCTTCTTGCATCCTTCAGTGTCCCTCTGATCTGGACCTGCTTGTGTCCAGTGAATAATGTGGCCTTCCCTCTTCACCCCTCTTGCTCAAGTTGCAAACCGATCCATGGGCCAAAAAGCCAGATGGATTTTGACTCTCTGCAAATTCACTTCCTCTCCCTCAACGCAGCTTGGCTCACGACCGCTCTCTCGACTTGGCTTTCAAACTCACGAACCGAGACGAGCTTTTCAGGGCTTGGTCCTGTGAGCTAAATGTGTTCTTTCATCTTTTTAAAAAATCTATTCTTATTAACTTCCAGGGAGACTTTGGTGAATCAGGATTTCCAGGGATCGCCGGGCTGTTCGGGCCAAAGGTGAGATCACTTTGTGGGTAAATATCATGTCCCTCCAGCCAACACTTTTAACAGAGCAGCTCTTTAAATAGGATCTTAACCATGGAACAACAGTTTGCCTGCAAGTAGCCACCACGCGGTTGGGGTGTGGAAGGCCTGATCCGTCCAGCTGAGCTCACGGATCCTGGTCATGGGATTGCCGTGCCGCTGTCTCCATGGGAAAAGCCCGTGAGGTCAGCCCCCGTTTGTGAGACCGGCCCGTTGTGACATTTCCCCTCAGCTGCACAGGAGTTGCTCGAAAAAACAGTCTGCCTAAGGTGGATATTTAAACATCGCCTGGCTTGGGTGATGTTTAAATATCCATCTTAGGCAGGCAAGTTACACAGGAAGCTTCTTATGTTCTTGGAAGACAGCAGCAAAAAGTTGCTTTTCTTTTTAAGATGCCGTTTAGCAATGCCTGAACTTTGTGGATACCAATGAACTCCAGAAAAAACTCACGTTTCTTCCAGTTGGTGGATGTAATAGAACCCCTTCGGTGTGTTAAGTCTCTCACTCCCCCGGTGCATTGGAAGTCTGGGTACAGCCACGGACTATATTCCTGTGTTGGTCATTTCGATTTCTTACCACCCTCTGCCAGAGTCTTGTAGGGAGCTGATGGGAGAAGCGATCGAGATTTAAAATAACTATTTTACATTTCCAAGAAGAGAACGGGTTATTTATGCTCCATGATGGCATCGCAGCCTCATATAGCTTTCTGGAGGCTTCCAAACAAGATCCAGTCCTCTTTTGCCCATACAATCATTTGCCGGGTGAGCGAGGGGTTGCCTGGGGGAATGGGGTATTTGCACCGGGGAGCCATGTGAGGCATTTGCTGGGTGTCTGAAGTGGGCAGCATTCCACAATGCTGAAGACGAACGAGAAGACCTGCCCCGGGAGGTGCATCTGAGCAGCAGATCAAAATTGGTACTCGTTCAGCCATCCGTTTAGATTCCTAAACCAAGAGCGTTGCAGCTGCTTTTGCAAAATGTTTCAGGTTTTATACTGTAAGTGCAGTAACTCTGAAAACATGGAAACTGCTCCCGAAAGCCCTTGCACAAAGACATGGCATTCATGGCCGATGTGTTTATCCACAGGGTCCTCCAGGAGATCTTGGGTTCAAAGGAATCCAGGGCCCCAGAGGTCCCCCAGGGCTCATGGTGAGTGTTAGGACCCTTATTCCTCTTGCTTATCTTCTTTATTGGTAGAATCAATTTTACTGATCTCTTATAAATTCTTTCTGGAAATACTACCAACGCTTGATTTTGTTCATATTTTGAAAATTAAAAAATGGAATTGCCCAGGTCTGGACAACGCCATAACCTGTGGTCCCGGCTTGGGTATGGCTCATGGGTTGAGTGTGGTCGATGCTGAAATGTGGCTTGCTGATTATCTGAACCCAGCCATCCTAAGAAACCATGGCTGGTGAACCATGAGCATGAAAACAAAGGAAGTTTCGATGTGTGTGTGCAAACTAATCAGAGAAGATAGCCTACGTTATGGAGAAGAGAAGGAAGCAGGGTCAAGGCAGCAGGAAGCTTGGAAGGAGAAATTTAGAAAGAACATTTGTAAACAGAGAGGCAGAGGAAGAAGCATGCATGCGAGAAACTTGGCCAGTAAGAACGGGGGAAGGAGAGCAAGGCTTGTGCGTGGAAGAGAATTTGAGATGGCGGGGGACATATTTTTAGAGGAGGAAAGGCTTTGGATCGGAGGAGAGGCGGGAAACTGTTCAGCCTGAGAAAGAATGTGGGGGAAACAGAGAGCGTGTGCTTTCATGCCGATAAGAGGATGACGTTTGTGCCAAAGAGGCAGGCACATGGGACCGCAACGGGCTGGTTGACAAGGCCAGTTCTGGAATGCAAGGCAAGGGATCTGCTGGTGTGGAAAGACGGGCTGCATTTTCTACTGAGTTAGGGGAAGAAATAGGATAATGAGGCCACCAGCATTGGGCCTTGGCTGAGCGTTGGTTGTTTGCCCACGCAACGGGTTGGCTCTGGCCCTTTCCTCACCCCGGCATCACACAGTTTAGCTCCGTTCTGCAAGGGAGGCAGCAATCTTCCCCTTGGCGCCCAATGGCGGCAGCCAGTAGCCATGTGCCCATTTCTTTCCACCTCTTTGGCCTGTGGCCCCGTGCTTCCAACGGCCCCGCAACGAGGCCGGAAACAGCACGTGCCGGCACTGCCCCGTCTGTAGAATGGGCATAATCACCGGGCCTCTTCCACTGGGTTGTTGGGCAGAGGCAAGGAGGGGCGGGCTTACCGCCGGCCTCGGTGATTGGGTGTGCTGGAAGTTCAGCGTATTGACGTGCGTCTCTGTTCTCTGCAGGGAAAGGAAGGCGTCCTTGGTCCACTGGGGATTCTCGGTCCGACTGGAAGCCCTGTAAGTGCTGCCTCTGCTCATTCGGGCTCACCCCGGGGAAATGGGCATCAGCTCTTCCTCGGTCTCCTTGAACATCCTTCAGTGGATTCCGCACTGACGGCAAAGCATCTTGGCTCGCTTCTCACCAGGGACTTGAGAACCCCTGTGTCTGCAGTGCCCAACTTCCTATCTGCCAGCTCCTCACTCTCTCTTTATTGGGGGCGGGGGTGTTATTGACAATATCCCTTCACCCAAAAAGCAAATACAGTTCCAGAAGTGAACAAATCATCATAAACAACCATGCCCTCTCAATTCAATAGGTTTTTATTCAATCAAATTTGTATTATGATCTATCATAAGTCTTAAACTGTTCCTAAAACCTCTTTCACCATATGCCACAAATTCTTCCTTTGCCACCAATACTTGCTAAGTTTATCCCACTGACCTGAAAAATGCAGTTACGTTTTTGTAGCTGGACCCACAGATACTTTTCCCCATCATCTCTGACCTTTTGCACTTCTGTCAAACGCTCTTTGTCCATTCTCTCGGTGATGGTGCGGCTCGTTCTCTCTTTGTGGCACCCACGTTTCACAGTTGGCTCAGCCACCCAGCCCCACCCACGGGCGGCCAGGTCATGCACCTGGACGCAGAGAACGACAGGCAAGGGTTTCTTCTGCCCCTTGTTCCTGGGCTTGGAACGCAAACTTCCTAAGGCGCTTTGGCTGAAGTGCTAATTTTCCACATGCAGGGAGTTTCAGCTGCTCAAGGTGCCAGCGGCCTGCTCACGGGAGCCACATGGCTCCCCTGCTTCTTGGGGCCGATTCGTGGGAGCATGCCCTCGCGGGCGTCTCACCCTTTCTGGGTATGTGGGTGTTTTGGATGGGGTTGGTTGTGGTGACATGCACACACATGGCTCTTTTCCTCGCTCTTGCAGGGCCCCAAAGGAGAGAAAGGCAGCCGTGGCGAGACGGTGAGTGACCGCAGAGGCCAGGATTGTGGCCGCGCTCCATCAGCTTCCCTGCCTGGGGGCTGGCGATGGAGGGGCAGAGGCCGTGTGCCTGTGAGCACCGGTGGGTGGGGAATGTGGGCACAGGGTGCTGTTCTGTACATAACCTGCTTGTTTCTTGAGGTAGCTGGTTGGATACTGTGTGAGCAGGAGATGGGCGGATGGCCCTCGGCCGGAACCAGAAAGACTCTTCTTACTCTCTTTTTTAGAAGGCTTTCCCATCTCCTGCTGCAGCATCTGTCTGCTCACTCGCTCGCTCGTTTGTTTGTTTTTAAAGTTGTCCAAGGGGAAATCACAGCATGTGGCTCAGGAGTCACCATAAACTGTGGTTTGCCAGGAGCAGAATGAGCCTCGCTCTCCCACATGCTCTTCCCCTCCTTTCCTCCAGTCCTAGTGCTACTTGCAATCCAGAAGTCTTTCCTTCTGTTTTTGAAGGAGCCTTGCTGCCTCATGCAAACTCAAACAACTTTGGTTAATTTTAACTATGGTTTGTTTGGAACACACCATCTACAAACTAAGTTTCAAGATAACCTAGTTAAGAATAGCCACAGCTGAGGTCTGGGATATAATGACTGATGCTTGTTAACTGGGGGTGGAGATGACAACTTAGGGTCTTTCCTAAGTTGTACCAGAGGGGGAAGAAGTATAGTGTGAACTTCAGGTTTCTCTAGATGGGAAAATTAACCATAGTTTATCAATGTAGCCATAATGGATGGTTTGGCCAAAAGTCTCCACTATTTGTTTTCTCATCCATTGGAAACGAAACCGCTGGTCTCAAACCCACACACCTGCGAGTGCATTTAGTCAAAGCCCTGTTCTGATTCTCTTTTCCTCCTCTTCTTTCCATTCTCCATCTCTCTCTCTCTCTCTCTCTCTCTCTCTCTCTCTCTCTCTCTCTCTCTCATTCCAGGGACTACAAGGTCCAAGGGTGAGTAAGTCAATGCTAACAGGATTACTTTTTCCATATAAACCTCTCCGAAGCAAAAGCAAACCCTCGAGACATGAAAGAAGCGGTGTTAATCTGTGCATGAACTCCTAGGATGGAAGAATTGCTGTCGGACTGTAAGGCTATCCAATCGAAGTCACACGGATTAAAATACCGACCAAACAAGGAAAATGTCCGCTTTGTTTTCCTCCGCAAAAAAGAATGAATGCAGTGCGGTGCAGTGCAATGCAAGCCAGCTGACCGCTAGCAAGACCCTAAGACAATGAAGCTGGGCCTTGTTCGACAGACAATGGGTTTTGTTAGGGATCGAAAAGCTATGATTTGCAAACCCCGGGAGAGGATCCCATGGCTTGACATGAGTTTGCCAGCCGTGGGTTTACCCTAACCAGGGTTTGGTGTGATGTCTGAACGCAAGAGGCAGGACCGAGCATGGGAATGAAGAGGCCTGAAAATAGGAAGAAGCACACAGCTTGAAAGCACACAGGTGTTTCTGCGAGAGATTCAGGCTCACAGCACTTGTTTCGAGAAGAACGGAGCCTCGAGAGAGCTTTTTTCCCTGTTCAGACTCGATGGGAAAATTTAGGGGGTCCCCTCCACGTTAACTTTCCTTTTGCTTCTTTTCACAGGGCCCACCAGGCCCTCGAGGGCCCCCTGGACCACCGGTACGTCTCCCAAAAACTACTTGGATAGTATTGTGTCTTTTAATGTCGTTGTTGCATAATTCTGCCTATTGACTTGTATCTCGGCTGGGGTTGTTCAGATTTAGTCCTGTTCTAGTTATGCTCCAGGGAATACTGAGCATTTTTCATTCTGTGATTGTTCATGAATGGTACTGGATTTTTTTCTTAATCCAGAAGTTCATTCGATTGCACTAATTGGCACCGCTCTAATTCCCATTCCGTCACACGGTAGCTCAAACACACGTTTGCACAATTCTGTCATTTGGCTTTAGATGATATGAATTAATGCTAATAGGCATTAACTAAGGGGGCCCATTAGCATGAACACAAATTAGCCAATATTCCCCCCCATTGAGTGCAAAACTGGTTGACACAATCCATGACTCATGAAAGGTCTGTTGGTTGAAGAATCTGTCCATTGGAGCCACAACTGCTCTAAGTTGCTCACTGTGCTGGTATCTGCGAGTAGAGTGGCATTCAGGTCCATGACATAAGCATTCAGGTCTCACACGGTGAATTAAATCGTAGGAAGAGTGACCGGGCCATGCCAGTCCAACGTCTCAGTCTCGTCTCTTGCCTTGCAGGGTCCTCCAGGAATCCGGGCGATGTTTGTAAGTTTCCTGGAATGTCATTCTGCGTGGAATTTTGCATGGCTTGGCACACCCACTGAAATGTGTGGTCTGTTGGAGTCTGTATATGGCGCATGACTCGGCTACTGGGTTTTGGTTCCTTGGAAGGGTTCTGCCACAGGGACTGGGTTCCGACAGCTCAATAGCACACCCTCAAGGGTTGCCTTTGAAATGTGGGTTGTTGCCAAATATGGCTTATGCTAGTCCCTGACCTCAGCTTCAGTAGGAAGTAATTCGACCATGATGATGGGGTAGATGTTCATTCCACCATTTCAGATCACGGCCCTCCTGTCCACTCAAGAAAACCAAATCAGGAGTGGGTCCCTTTATGTGTACTGGGCCGGTGATATGTTGGACAGCCCCATGGTTGTCATGGGGGCCGTGAAATCCCGAGCCCCTCTGGGTTCCACATCGTTGGCATGGAAGTTGAGCTCCCCCCAGACCCATCATCCTAGGGGTCTTCAACACCAGATCCACCAAAGCTCAGGCAAGGGGCTTGAAGGGGAGTAGGGTGCGTGGCTTGCCAACAGGATCCCTGAGCCATCTCTGGTGCCCAACGCAAATATTCAGGAGTAGCCCTCAAGCCGTGTGTGAGCACCGGCTCATCTCGTTGCGTGTGGGCTTTGGGAGGGACCGGCCCAGAGGGCATGGCTCTCCCAGATGGGCCAGCCCAGCTGGCATGGCACGGTCTGGCACTGCGCGAGCGAGTTTCTGCACCGCTGGCATGCCCACAGAGTGGCTTTTCCCCTGCCGGGGTCCCCACTGGAACAGCACAGCCCCATCCACTGCCTTTTGCAGCTTCGGCTTCTCTCCAGGAGCAAGCGGCAGGCACAGGCTGGGGACAGGAAATCCAGCCAGGAGCATGGGGGGCAGCAGAGCTGGAGCCAGCAAAACTCAGTCCCACCCAGCTGTGTGGCCCTCTGACCCTTCCGTGCCCCAGGTCTCGGGCGGTCGGCAGCCACCCCGGCATTCCGTGCTGCCGGCTCTGAGCCTGTGCTCCTTTCCCCCCAACAGCAGCAAGATGGCTTCGGTGCCGCTTTCCAGCCTGTGATGAGCACCAGCGATCTGTTCAAGCCTGAGGTATGTTGCAGGCGGCCTGTGCGTCCTGTCTGGCGACGTGCTCGGGAACGGACAGGACACGCGGGAGAGTCCGCCCGCCGTGGTCTTTACCTCCCTTCCCCTCTTTCTTCCGGACAGAACTACCCGCACTCGGACTTTCCTGTGCTAGACCAGGGAGGAGAGATCTTTAAGACACTGCACTACCTCAGCGCTCTGATCCAGAGTATCAAGAAGCCCCTGGGAACCAAGGACAATCCGGCGCGCATCTGTAGAGACCTTATGAACTGTGAACAGAAGGTGCAGGATGGTACGTGTTCCTCTGGCCCAGATGCTGGAGGGGGGTCACCCCAGTGCATCCCTGGGAGCCATTCTGGGTCCAAATCCCCCCCCCCCCGGAGCCAGAAGACAGGGGACGACAGGTTAAAACGGCCACTCGGTTTCAGTGCGTTGAAATGCAATGCTTGGTCCAGGAAGAGCCAAGAATTTACACTGCAGGGTTAAGTGACTGCATGAAGGGCGAGGATGGAGAGTCCTTTCTTTCCGGACAGCCACCTCCAGAGGCTCATCTGGGGCCATTTGAAACAGGGCCTTTTGGGTAGCTGCCCCCAGGCCCTGGAACGCTCTCGAAAGCGAGGCTGGATTCACCCTTCCTCTGCTGTCCTTCTGCCTCTCGGAAAACACACCTTATTCAAGAAGGCTCTTGGCCCGTAAGGGGATCTGGTCTGTTTTGCTGGGTGCTATTTCATTGCATTTTAATATATTTTATTGTTTTAATCGATTTTAGCCATGCTGCCAAGCCTTCTTGAGGGCCATATTTTTGGGAAGAAAGTACTGATCCAGTCACCAAATAAATGGGCGTATGCGTGCAAGCGAAACTCCAATTCGCTGGCGTGCTCCATCTCAGGGCTCCTTCTGTTGTGTGCCCAAATCAAATTGTGATCCCACCCCCACCCCGCTTCTTTTCACGTGAAATCCATATCCATGCTTAAAGCCGGCCGTTCACATGAAATCCATGCGTCTTTTTCCAAATGCACACACGATCCGCGAGTGTCTTTGACACACGTGCTCGCTTCCCCCATCACCTGAAACGCAATTCAGCAAATGTTCCCAAAGTACCCATTCTTCCATGCACATTTTCCAATTGCTGGATTTCTCCCCCACCCCCACCCCGACCACAAATCACAATGCAAGCTTGGAAGTATACAAAGGTCAATTGCAGGTGGCATTCAGGCCTGTGTTTGGTCCGTAAGGGGCGGAATGGTAGATCTGAAACAAAGGCGAACTGAAACAAATTCTTCATAGGCCTCTCAGGTCCTGTCGTGTCCTGGGCGGACCCAGTAGCAAAGACCCTCTGAACACAGTGCCCATTCCAGGACCCTCTTGTGCATCCGTACAAGTCTGGACCACAGGGCCATGGGGCTCGAGCGTGACCCTCGCCTCCTGCCACCCTCCAATGCCAGGGCCCTTCTTTCCTTCAGGCACCTACTGGATTGATCCGAACCTTGGCTGTTCTTCAGACAGCATCGAAGTCACCTGCAACTTCACCCAGGGGGGTCAGACGTGCCTCAGCCCCATCACTGCCTCCAAGGTACGTGAGGGCTTCTCATCAGTGGCCAGGCGTTCTGCTGGATGGCAGCCTCGGGGGGGTGTCCGCTGGGGGTCGGGGGCACACTGAAGGGCTGTTGCGTTGCTCGCTGGCATTACCTTTGCGCTGAGAGATCCTTATGCTTGCAAAAAGATGCTGGGCATAATTCAGAAGCCGTGAGGCCTCTGTGCACAGAGGCTTTTGAGCATCCTGGGCTGGGCAGAGCAGGGCAGGGTGGCGAGGGCAGCCCTGCTTCCCGGGTCCCCCTGCCCTGCCCTGCCCATCTCGCTGTGATGCTTTAGTGGGAGGAGGGCAGGTGTCCAGAGTGACATCAAGATACAAGCGCCATCTTGCGTCTCGGTGGCACTGGTCTCCTCCCCTCCCTGTCCTGTTTACCGCCTCTCCGAGGTCGCTCTCCCAACCTCAGAGAAGCGGCCTGCACGGTTCTTTCTGTGTTGGTTGCAAGGGGACGAGAGGGGCCAGAAGACAAATCCCCAGCTTCTCCAAGGTTGCGGCCCTGCTTCCAAGTCCACATCTAGGAATCCGGGGAATGCTGCGGCCTCTTAGGTGCTCTCTGAGGGGCACAGGCTGGCTCAGCAAATCAACCTGCACTGACACTGTATTCTTTTCGGTGCCCGGCTAAAACCTTTTGATTTTCCCAGCTTTTTAAGGTTTAAATTGCTATTTTAATTTGAGGTTTTACTGGCTAGAAATGATCCTGTTCTTTACTTTGTTGTATCGTAAAACCGTCCTGAGACTATTTGGTAAGAGGACGGGATAGAAAAGTCTTAAACAAACACTCAAACAAGCCTGAATTGCTCAGCCTGGGAGAGAAAAGCAAAGCCATCAAGCTTTACTAAAAGCTACTCTGGAAAGTATACAGCTCTACATTTTGCTTTCAGTGTGTCTTACTCCCAGGTAAGTGGGGGGAAGAAGAGTCTCGGGCTGGAGAAGAAAAGAGCTCACGGATTGTGGCACTGCCTGCTTCTAAATAGTCCCCAGCCCGACTGGGTCCCCAGAATAATATCTCGCAGTCAACGCTAAATGAGCAGGGGTGGGCGCTGTTTTTTCCTGCGATGGGCAAATTTTGCTGCTTGCCTTGCACACCACCCCGTGAGAAATTACCAAATTTGGTAATTCGGCAAAGTTGGCCTTTTGTCGGAGGTTAAGTTTCTGTCAGTCTGCCTTTTGCAGGTTTTCCAAAACATCACAGAAGTAAGATTGTATAAAATGTGTAACCAATTCCAGTCCCCCCCCTCCCCACCCTGCAATATTCCGTGAGCAAATGTTTAATTCCAAAAAAGCAAGAAGTCTGCGTGTTGTGACTACCACGCATTGATAGTTGTAACGGTTTCGCATTCTTTTCCTACCAAGTTGTTCCAGGAAGCACCATGGCTTCCTCTTTGCGTTGTCTCTTCTGAACACACGCCATGTTTTCGCAAAACCATCTTTGGCTCCCCTGTTTCTCTGAGCTGTGAGTCGCTTTGATCATTTTTCCATGAGGGCAATGTTCCGTACCCCTTCCAACCACTGTCAAATTAACCACTGTTTTCCAGTGCTGCGCTAGAACCTTTCTGGCTGCAGTCACAAAGAGGAATGCTAAATCTTTCAACAGCAGGGCTTTTAAATCATCAGCAAACCAGCTCAGCAGTGCTAATTCGGGATCACGGGGTACCTGTGAAAACCGGTGCGTCATTCTTCAGTTGTACCCGATGCAACTGAACGTTCTCACAGCTCCGTCTTGTATGAAAATTTGCTAACATCTCGGGAAGACCGGGCTAGAGGGTGGATTTCTTCCGTGACATTTCATAGACGTTTAGTGCAGTGCGTGCCAGGTTTTTATGCTCGGGAGGTGAAGTTTCTTACAGAATATACAACTACCTTGGTTTCTGCTCAGCCTTAATTGTTACCTGTATGCACACGTACACAAGCTGTGATGGAGAATCAGTAAGACAGGGCCATTTGGGTAATTCCACACTTTACAGGGAAAACGTTGGGCACCTTACCTAGCATGGCACCAGACTAGTCCACAGGAAACCCATTGGGTGACCCCTTTTTCTCCTCTTAATGGGTTTTCTGTGGTAAGAAAAAGGCTGGGTGAAGAGGTGAGATTGTGTTGGACCTCCGGCATGGCAGGATGGGAATCTCAGTTGCACCTGTAATGCAGATCTGTGCTTCTGTGCAGCCAGGTTCCATCAGGTGTGTTGAAAGGTGTTGTGGGCACGTCTGTACAGGTGTGTCCGTGATTCACTCTTGGTGTGTCAGTTGCCCATGGAAAACTCCAGTGGGCGTGCAGGAAACACACCTCCACCCCGTGTAGAGACTGCAAATTCCATGCAGCATTTCAGCTCCTCTCTTTTTCAGCTGTTGAGTTTCTTGTCTGGGGAGGGGGTGGATCGGGGCCGCCCGAGACGGGGCTAAAGATGTGTCTGGCACCAACACGGTCGTCATCTTTGGGGCACCTGCTTAAGAAAGACTGAAGGCAACAGGATAGCTTAGGATGGCACTTTGGACGATTTGTGCATTAAAGCTTTTATGTTGTGTTGCTGGTATATCGTATTCTGGGGGCTGTAATTTTTGGGTTGTAAGCAGAGAGTGTTGGCTGTGGGGGACATGGAAAAAGAAGGAAGGAAGGAAGGAAGGAAGGAAGGAAGGAAGGAAGGAAGGAAGGAAGGAAGGAAGGAAGGAAGAAGGCCAGCTCCCAGAATGTGATGCTGCCTGCAGTGAAAGACCTTGTACACCTGTTCCCACTTTGATCTCTCATGAACTAGTTGGACTTCGACGTCGGAAGAGTGCAGATGAATTTCCTTCACCTCCTGAGCTCTGAGGTAGTTCAGAACATCACTGTCCACTGCCAGGACACCCCTGTGTGGCAGGAAGGACCGCTGGAGACAGCCCTGCGCTTCAAGGCTTGGAACGGGCAGATCTTCGAAGCGGGCGGGCAGCTCCGGCCCGGCGTGCTGTCGGACGACTGCCAGGTAGAGCTGGCGAGGCGCCTCGGGGGGAGGCTGGGGAGGCGCTGTGCGGCCCGCGGGCCAGGGCACCGGGGACTTCCGCATGTGTGCAGTTGCTCCGTTTCTTCCCGGGACTATTTCCTATTTTAACTTTGCGGCTTGGTTCTTGTCTTTTCCTTTGTTAACCCGCCTTGCTTTTGACATCACCGCCACCTGCTGCCAGTTCGCATGAACTGAACGCTGCTCCATTCCTTTCTATTGATTGGTTGGTTTGTTGGTTGGTTGGTTGGTTGAAGGTCTTTGTATTCCATCCGACTACTACAGTTCTACCGAGGCTGAAAGGATGCGAAAGGCCTGCCCTTGAATTCTTGATTTATTTTATTTTATTTTATTTTCCCTTCACCATTCTTACTCCCCACCATTCCTCCAAAGCAGGAGCATACAGCAGTTCACAAAGATTGATTATGCCAGTACTAAGAAAACAGAAAAGTTGTACATGCCACATATCGACAACAACAACATCCTACCATGACAATGAAGCTAGTTTAAACACAACCATCGGAGAGGCGCAGAGTAGGCAGGAAAGGAATACAATGCCATGCAACAACAGCAGCAACAAAATTCTATCACAAGAATCAAAACGGTAAAGCATGACCATAATAGTCAGAGATGCCAGAAGTTACAAGCAGTTACAAGAAGTTAAAGTTACAAGGAGTTAAATACTTGGGCCTTTCCAGGAAGGACTTTAATCAACTGGAGTGGGAGACCGTCTTTGCTTCACCTCACGGAGCAGGGCATCGGCTGCAGATCAAAGGTCTAAGCTGGCCAAAAATGGAGGAGGTCCTTGCTTAAGTATTTTGGTTAAGCCTTTATGTGCCACCAGCAAGACTTTAACGTGGGCTCAGTTGCTCACAGGACCAGCAGAATGCTTCCAGGAGAGGTGTAGGCTTTTAAAATTATTTTTGTTGGTTTATTGCTATATTTACAGCATTTTCATCCCATCCTTTAGCCAGAAAGCCTCCAAGGTGGCTTACAGCAATATTTCTTAAGACCAACCCTGCCTGCTCATCTTGAGTCAATAAAACGTGACATAAGAGGAAAGGCAACTGGGAGGGCAGAAGGAAAGAGAAAAGCACATTCAGGCACTACATTCTTAGATGCAAAGTTTGGAAGGCCTTCGATGTAGCAGAAAGATCCCTGCTGGTTTTTGCGCTGGGATTGCTTGATGGGAAGAGCAGTTCTAGGGCACGGATGTTTACCCTTTGCCTGCATCAGCCACGTTAGTCTGCAAGGAAGCCCACCAATGAAGCAGCTTCATGCTGAGTTCGCCTCGCCAGCCCAGCGTTCTTGACTCTGACTGGCAGCAGCTCCCCAGAGCTTCAACCCAGTTCCTTCCTTTCCTTCCGGCACCTTCTGCATGCAGGCAGCCTGCTCTCTGCCGCCGAGCCGAACCCCTCCCCAAAGCCCCCAGCTGCTGTGTCCCCGATGGGCTCTTGCCGAAGAGTGACGAGGACCGCCCTACAAAAGGGGTCCCGGCATTGTTGGGCAGGCCTAATCTCTCTTCCCCCCCTCCCCCCCCTCACCTTTGCATCCAGGTTCAGGATGGACAGTGGCACCGGGCTCTCTTCACCTTCCGGACCCAGGAGCTGCACCAGCTGCCGATAGTTGACATCTTCAACCTTCCACCTCACGCGCTGGGGAAGCAGTACCTCCTCGAGGTCGGACCTGTGTGCTTTCTCTAGACGGAGCCTTCGCAGTGCTTCAGGCCCCGGCCTCTGTGTCGTTTGGAGATGCTGCATCTTGGCACAGGTCTTGTCCGTCACCTCTGTGAGCCGAGAGCGACCAGGTCTTGAGCGTGTGGACTGTGTGCAATCACAGTGGACGCTCGGACTCTCCTTCCCCGGAATCAGGCGGGGAGAATACCTTGGCTCTGGTAGAGACATGACTTAACCAACGGAGTTGAAGGTGCTGAAGGGAAGGCCAGTTGAACAAGACAGTTCTGCACCCAAAGATTTGCTTTTCTTCCTTCAGCCAAAGAAAAGTTACGCAGAGAAGCCCAGTTCGTGCTGCCCCGTTGCCATCTTACCGAACGCAACAGGCAGGGCTTTGTGGAACAAACTAGGAAGGAGGCTAGGAAAGGAAGCTTTTGCAAACTATTTTCATCTGCTTGTTGTTCTGGAACAGGAAGCATTTTGAAGTGCAATATTAGAGAGAAAGAAAAAAGATATATATAGAGAGATATATTATTTAAGGCAAAAATAAAACCAAGTGAGATCCTTCTTCCCTTTGTTGGGGGGAAACATCCCTTTTCGTCTGTATGAGGAGGAAATACCTAAAGCAGGAAAGAGGTGAGAAGAGATTGGTGCTAAATTAAAAAAGAGAGAGAGGGAGGGAGAGGGAATGGGCTCGTTTAATTTGATTCTACCTCTCACTGTGAAATACCCTGGTGCTCTTTTATTTTTTAAGAAGAAGTGTGTTATTTTATATATGACTAAAACTATTTAAGGTTCGAAGGTTCGAAGAGGTGCTATAGTGTCTCATTAAACCGCCACCCCATACATCCCAGTTTTAGTGCGCTCCCTTTAGAATGGGAGCAGTGGGGAAGGGAGAGTGGGGGTGTTGAGATCATCCGCGCATGAACTAAAAATGGACTTTTAACTTAAAAGTGCATAAAATCTTCTAAGGGGTTTTCTATGTTCTTTGGAATCCAGGTTTCATTCAAGTTCCTTTGTCATGGGTGTGTTAAAGCGCATCTTTGGGATTTTTTTTAAGAGAAAGAACTGAGCTTATTTAAAAAACACACTTTTTTCTGGTTTTATATATGTAAGTATTGTATGCACATGTGCCGTGGGTTTGTGCGTATTGTGTGTTCGGGACAGCTCACTCATCCAAGCGGCTCAGCCGCGAGGGTCGCCATGGCGGAAAGAAGAGACGACGCTAATCTGTTTTTGCTTCTGTTCTTTAAATAGTTTGGCTGCGTTTCTGCCTGCGTTGGCTCTGGTTGTGCTGTTCATGCGCATTTTCTGTTGCAGTGACTTCTGGTTCTGAGCACCCACGTCTCTTGGTTACGCACGGGAATAAAAAGCACTCTTTGGGGAGGGGGGCTCTTCCTATCACACCCAATTTCAGAAATATCTTGTTGCTTGTCTGCCCAGGAATCTTGGATGGGCTTTGTTTTTTGTTCCTTGTTCTGTTTTGTAGAAACCTAGACTCTATATGTAAATTTGGAGTTTAAAAAAAGAAAGAAGAGGGAATTAATATTATGGCAATCGTTTTATTCTATATAAGGAATGTAATATTAATGTAATCGGGGCCGTACTGTATTTGAACTGCTTTGGTACCTGTTTTTGGATTTCTGTGTTTCGGAAAATATATGTGAGTCTTAATCTGTGCGTATTATTTTGGGGTGTGTGTGGGTGGGAGAAACGGTCTGGGGTGTTTTTGGCTCAGCAAAAACATAAAATATCCCTACCGCATTTGCTTCACTTTTCTCTTCCTCTCTGGATGCTGTTTTCGCACTGGTGCATCCTTGGCCCATGCATTTCCGTGTCTTTCTTACCATCCTAGAACCACAGAACCGTCGGGCTGGAAGGGCCACCAATCCAGCCTCCTTGGGCACATGAGACTTTTCCAGTCACATCAAACTCCTTCCTCTCTTGTATCCTTCAAAAAACACACTCACTCGCAAATGCATGTTTAGAGATGAGCTGTGCAATGGAGCGTTGGTCATTTTTGGTTCTGCTAATGAGAAAGTAAGGTAAAGACCAGGGGAGTGAGGGAAAGGGGGCTTGCGTTGACTCGGAAGACAGTTGCACCGCTTCCGAAAGATGCTGCTGCTTGTGCTCCCCTCTGGTCCATGGTCACGCTGAGATCTGAAGCCAAAGCGTCCTGGTTTCAGTTCAACCTTCTCCAGCCTGGTGCCTTCATAAACTCTCCTGACTTCACTGCCCGTGCTGGCTGGGGCTGATGGGAGCTGTCATCTGAAACATCTGGATGGTACCAGGTCAGGGAAGCCTGGACTGTGCACAAAACAGACTCCATTGCGCTTAGTGACAAGTCCGTGTGTCTCATTCCTCCTGGGAGCAGTCTTTAAATTGTCTTTGTGTCCCGCGTTTGCCGTGCGTGTGTTGCTTTCTTTAAGGCCTCAAGGAGCACCGCAGGGACGTCCGTCCGTCACAAGGGCCTTCACATTCCTGACCCGCGCAGGAATTCCCCTTGTGATGAAGATGTTGAGGGAGAAGCTCCACCCTCCAAGCCCGGAAGTGTGCAGAAAGCACAACCAAATGCTTGTGTGCGCCTGTCCTTATCCAGGAGAGGAACTTGGACGAACAGAAAGCCGCCTCTCTCCATGCCTTACGGCTCAACGCCGCATGATTCCAGTGCGCGCTGTCTCTGAGTCTCAGGCCACTAGGCAAACCTTCCCAGGATGGCCCTGCCATATCTATTTATTTTATTTAGAAAATATTTAGATGCTAATATCTAGCATCTGGCCCTCATTTCTCCGCAGCTGGCCTCCACTGGATTCTTTGCTCGGCCTCATCTCTGGGGTTCTGGTGAATGGAGATAATAAAGAAACATGGCACAGCTTCGCTGGGGGAGCGAGGCTGTGCCAGCAGCTGCTCCGCATTGAGAATAATCAGATGCACCTGGAGCGCCGCATGCCTGTGAGCGAACCGGACTTTTCCCATTGCCTTCCATGGGACCGTGTCCCTTTCAAGATAATCCAATCCGTCTCTCCAGCAAATGACTTTTCTTTAAATTTAAATTTGCAGATGCAAATTCTTTAAATTTAAATTTGCAAATGCTCTGTCTCTCTCAGATCCGTGCCTCAGTTTGCACAGCACTGGCTCTTCCATGGGCTCAGGGTGGCCCACTTTACAGCAGACAGTCCTCTCTGTCCAAAGATGGTTTAAAGAGAACAGAACCCACGAACCTGAGAGTTGCCTATGGCAGCAACCTAGGACCACATAAAGGCCAAACGAGCACACAAGTCAGACAGGCATGCTGCATTTTTGTTAAATGTATGTCGTTCTTCCGGATTTGCATCTCTGTGAATAAATCAGCAGGTGTAGAGTTTTGCAGCTCTCTCTGCCGCAGCCACAGATCTCGGGCTATCAGCTTCATTACCTTCAGCAGCTTTCCAGAGCTGGAGAAGCAAGCATGGAATCTTGCTGCATCCCCTCCGTTACTCAACAGACCACAAAATGTTTCAACTTGCCTTGGGATTTTAGTGTAGGGCAGAACAATGGAGGTCTGTCTTTCCCCACCTTGGAAACACGGCAGGTGAAATTTATTACCATGCTCCGAATCCCTCTCCCTCTTTTCCCCATATGTTTTAACTTCCTCTGTTTGCTGAGTTCTCTGTGTTCATTTGAGGCTAGGTGGCAGCCGATGCGTTTCCTTCTGCTGCACAGACACACTATTTTGTGACTGACATTCTGAGTAATGGGCAGGCATTCCCCTTGGTAGTTTTTGTGGATTCATGTTAAGTACCAAGGAGACGGTAATCGGTGAAGGGGGCAACTTTTTGATGACACCTAACAAGGTGGTTAAAACCAAATGGGATTGTGAGGAGCTCCAAAAGGGACTCTCCCCCCCCCCCCAAATCTTTTATTATTCTCTCTACAAACTTAAACTAAAACAGCGATTATGCCTGAGACATCTTATTCTTATTACAATTGATAACCATATTTAGTTCTACATGTAGTCCCGGTTCTCTAACCAATGAAAAAAGGAATTCCAAGTTTGATAGAAGTATGCATCTTCCTTCTCCTTCAAAGACAGAGTCAATCTGTCCGTTTCCACGCAATCCAGAATCTTTGTTAGAATCAGCTCTTCAATAGGTGGTTCTTCATTCCTCCAGTGTTGAACAAATACAATCCTTCCAAAGGGGACTCTCCAAACTGGGCGAACGGGCATCTGAGCAGAAAATGCCGTTCGGTTTAAGCCAGTGTAGAGCGATGCAAGTTGGGGCAGTTAAGTCTCCGCTTCGAGTGCAGGCTGATGGGATCTGAGCTAGCGGGGACTGGCCAAGAGCGGGATCCTGGGGCGCTGATGGATGACACACTGCAAAGGCCAGCCCAGCGCACAGCCACTGTGAAAACAGCCAACTCCGTGCCGGGCGCAATTCAGAGCGGAGGAGCGAACAGAGCGGCCAGATCCCGCTTCCCTCGCACAAGTCCTTCCTGCAGCCACGCCTGGGATGCTGTGTTCGGTTCTGGTTGCCTTACCTGGAAAAGGACAGTGCTGAGATGGAGAAAGGACCGAGAAGGGCAGCAGAATGATCCGGGGGCTGGAGCAGCTCCTTCCTGCAGCAACTGGGACTGTTCAGATTAGCAAAAAGGCGAGTCGGGGAGGCTTGGTTGGAGGCGCTTAAAATTATGCCTAGTGTGGGCAATTTCTCTCCCTCTCCCACAGCACTCGAACCCAAAGGGTCATCCCATGAAGGCGACTGGTGGGAGGTTGAGGATGGATCAAAGGACGCCGTGGCAACCACCTCCATCCTCAACTTGTGGGCTCTTCCCCTGACTGCATGGGCGGATGTGAAGAAGGGCCGGGGCAGCCCGATGGTCCACGAGAAGTCCCCGTCCGTGGCAAAGGACCGCAGCCTTCAGACCACGGATGGGCAACTAGCCGCAGCCCAGGGTCTTCCCCACGTGGGCTGCAGCTGAGGTCGGAGGGGCGTGCCCTGAGAAGACGAGCCAAAGCAGGGTGGCCGGGATCTGTTTTACTGTAGGGGCACATTTTGCAGCTGTGGGCTCTTAATGAGCGGCTTTGATCGTGAGGGCTACTCTGAGGCACACAATCCACCCTTCCCTTCCCTTCCCTTCCCTTCCCTTCCCTTCCCTTCCCTTCCCTTCTGCTTCTACATTCCAGCAAGAACAAGCAAACATGTGCCTCTTTAAAAACCATTTGCCAGCCTTGATAACAGTCAATACTCCAAATATGGGCAGTTGTCCATTTTAAACTCCCTTAAATCACTCTGTGAATAGAGGACAGAATTGGGTCCTGTTCCCAAGTACTTTTCCTTAGATATGCATGCTATCTTTTCATGGAAAAGTATTATTATTATTATTATTATTATTAATAATAATAATAATAATAATAATAATAATAATACATGAAAACCAGTGTTGCCTTTGTTTGCCCCTGCTAGTCAGCTGGAATCTCAGGTATGACTCTATCTAGATTTCCCTGCATGCTGCCAGTAAAGGGACACACTTTCCACAGCTGTGGTTATCTATCACGGCTGTTTGCCAGACCCGCCCGCCTGCCAGACAGACCTTGCTCTAGGCACTCGCTATCTGATGTCTGAGGCATAATTTGCTCTGCAGTGGCCCGCCCTGCTCTCCTTTAAAAACCTAGCCCCTTTTTTTTTTCTGTGTGTGAGATAGAAGCACAGGTGCGTGCGTGTGCACACGCCCACGCACGCCCACTCATTCTATGGTCTCTTATCCACCTGTTCAAAGTGAGACTCGTGGGCAGGTGTGCGGTGCTGCGCTTGTGCTTCAGGAGTGCCCACCTCTGATCGAAGACCGATTTCCAGAGAAATGGAGCCGAGCTCTGGAAATGATCGCCGTAAGCACTGGTACTAAATCATCCTCTGCAGGCAACTCCCAAAGGTGTTCCTAACAGGAACTGGAAGTAGGAAAATAAGCGATGGCCAGATAGGCACATCTGGGGAAGTTGACGGGTGTGAACTCTCTCTGATGCCCTTCCTGCCTCCGCCCTAAGGCTGGCTGGACTGTCCGAACAGACCGGATGAAAATGTGGCGTGGATGAGTCAGGGGTTAGTAAGAGGCCAAGGAGGAAGGGGCAGATCTGGCTTGGCAGAAGGTCGCTCGAAGCCCTTCTGGTCCCATCCGGTCAGTCCACGCTTCTCAGCAGAGTGCCTGGAAAGCGGAGCCGGTGGACGCAGGCACCTTTCTGGAAGAAAGGAATAATTCATTCAGGAAAAAAGCCTCGGCTCTAATTCCTTGTGCCTGCATCACATTTGGGAAGAGGAGACAGGTCCAGTTCTGCTGCTAGGGAGTGTGAAGATGCTGAGACACGGCAGGACACCCTGGGGGGCCGTGAGGCCTTCCCTGCATCGCTGCAGCTCTTCCAGGGCCTTCGGAGCGGCGGAGTGCACCACCCCATTTCCAGTGCTGAAGAAAGACCCAAGCACTGCTTTGCTGGGTCGGCCTCTGCGCGTCCATCTCACCCAGCAAAGCGTCTCGGGCCAGCCTTGGGTGGAAACTCTTCTCTGCTCCCTCCTCTGTCCCTCGAAACGCGCATGTTTGTGGCTTGGGAAATATAACACACCGAGAGCGGAGAAGCCAAGCGGGGGACTCGAGAACGAAGTGGTGCTTGGATTTTTCCTGATTTTCTGGTTCTTTCTGCCCCCGTTCTCCTCTTCTCAGTACTCAACAGGTGGCAGTAAAAGTACAGCCAGCGAATCCAGAGACTCTTAACTGCTCTGGGTCTGAAAGGGTTCCCTCTCCCCACTTCCCAGAGCCGTGCTGTTTCTCAGCGAGCGGTTTCTGCAGAGGTGCCCTTTCTTTCTAGGCTGCTTCCACCAAACAGCTCAACCCCAAAGTTGTCCAAAAGTTTTGTTTCCTTAGGCAGCTCCTCCTCTCTTCTCCACCTAGAATTTTTTCTCCGTCTTGCAGGAGGCAGTGAGGGAGCCAGACCTGTTGCTGCATCTGCCCCTTGCACTGGTACCAAACTGAACACTCAAGCCCGAACCGAGAATTAAGCCTGTCTCCCCCTGCAACCCCCCCCCCCAATCTTGGGGTGGGGGAGAATGATGCTGTGCTTTGGCCACTAACTCCCAAGTCCCACCCTGGAGAAACTGCTGGAGAATTTCTGTTCTTTCTCTTCTCTTTCTCTAGACATGGAGCCGGGGGTCAGACTAGATGGCCTTTGAGAACCCTTCTGACTTGCTCCGTTTCTATGTTTCTTCCTCCTGGAAAGAGCTGGTCAGATGTCCCTTTTGGCCATAATGCCTCTGCTGGGACCATTCGCACATAGTTCTCAAATGCTTTTTTCCCATATGCAGCTACTTGCCTTTGCTGGCATCAGTTTAAAGGGTTTATCTCGGTTTTGTAGACCTGGAAAAAGGAAAGGAAGGCCAACAGGCATAAAAGGCGCCTGCTCTTTATTTACTGGTGCTGGACTGTCCTTGTGGGAAGATGCACTCGGGGAGGAGACAGAAGCTGGCCCTTTTGTGAGTGCTGCTTCAAGGAATGCTTGTCTGCACAATACAACGGATCCATTGCGCAGTCCATGCTTGAGTTGATTAATTTCACAAATTATTTTTTCCGTCACTTCCCCCAACACCAAATTTGACTTGATTTCTTGCAGCACAATCCTATGCAAGTTTAACAGGGGGAGAAATCAGAATTCTTCAGCTGGCAAAGGAAAAGATGCTGGCTGGGAGCTGTTGGCCGTTTTCCTGCCTAAACGTACCTAGCACTGTGCAAGTAATCAGCTGACACAAGCCACCCACGCCTGTTTTTATAGCCAATACATGCACTGGAGGATATGAACTTTGCCCACACGTAAAATACCAGCACCTGTTCTCTCCCCTCCCAGCAGAAAGCAAACCTGTCCCGGAAAGCAGATGTGGTGATGTAAAAAAAAAAAAAAAAATGGGTTTGTGATATAACTGGCACTAGCCAGTCCATCCTGGGCACTGGAGAGGGCGACAAAGGTGCACACCAAGCGTCGTTCCTCCAGTGGTGCTCTGCTTACCTGCAGCCTTAATTAGAAGCTGCCTGAATGGTGGATGAGGGAAATAATCCAAAGGAATTTAGTCCTGCCCTCCTAAGAGATCGCCGTGTTTGTCGGTAACGGGAACGCCGAGACTCAGTTCTTCCAGGCTTCCCTCTTGCTGTGTTGCCGCCTCTTTTTCTGAGGGCACCTGGTCTCCACAGAGCTCCATATTCAGGTCTGGCCCACCGGCTTTCTGCAACGGTGCGAGGAAGAGGCCTAGGCACATCTAAGCAATTATCACGCTTGGATTGTGTGGCTTTTCTTAAAAGGCCTTTGTGAGCGTTCAGCGGCTGCGGCAGTGGAAACATTTTGCTCTGGAGTCCTCCTAAGCGGGAAGATGCTCAGCGTTTCGCGAAAGCTTTGCAGAACACACAGGTGCAGGTGACCCTGAGCGGACCGATGTGAGCACCTGGATGGCTGAGCTTACCTGGTTTGGTGATGGGAGGGTCCCTGGATGATTCCGTGGATCTGCAATCCTGGCAGTCTCAGCTTTAGTCATGCCAAACACCCTCTCCCCAAGTGCCTCCTTCGGAGACGACTAGTTAAGCCTCCTTCCAAAAAATGAAACTCATCTCCTTGCAAGAAATCAGTTCTATTATATTGCTCGTTCAGTTAGTTCAAATATATGGAAATAGGTTAGTTCAAAATAGTAGCACGGTGTTCGTTCCTTCATCCACGTTAAAGGTGAAAGAGGAAACAAGATGAGAGCCATGGGGGCTGGGTGTCCATGAGCTAACGGGAAGGGCGTGAAGAGGACCGGTGCAGCGCAGATGGGACCTTCTCATGGGCGGCCCCTCGTCTTCCTGGTCCACCATGAAGTCGGCCCTTGCAGCTGGATCTTGTCCTCCTCCCGAGACGAACACGGCAATGAAGCCACCCTGCAGCCAGGCTGGAACCAGGTAAGCTGCCAACTTCTGTTCCAAGAAATGGTGCCCAAGAATGAGAGTTGGGGGTTGAGGCAGCGCTTGGGTTGGGGTCAGAGGGGGTACAGGCAGCCTGGGAGAGGCATCCTGCATGTGGGGGCTCTGGAAGCCGCCTCTGCACTATTGGAAATCCCTCCTCCTGTCCCTCCCTCTCCCTCCAAAGAGGTTTCCCGGAGAAGGCCCTCAGACTGGGCAACCTTGGGGGAATCTTCGTTCTTCTCCAAAACACGGCAGAGCCCTCTAGTTGGAGGCAGGAGCAACCAAAGGGCTGGTGGATGGGCGTGGATGCACAGGGGCGGGCCAGAAAGAGGACCCATCCTCTGCCATGCCCAGGAACCTTCTCCCCCCGCCCCCACATGTGCAAGTACAGACCCCCAGTTGCCTGCAGAGATGCCAACACCAGCCCTCAAGCCAGCCGCCCCTGCTGCTCAGGGACTTCTGCTCCGGATAAAAGAAAAGACAAGGTTCGAAGCCACCGCAAGCCAGCGAGCCCTTGCTCAGCACAAGGGAAGTATTTGTCTGGGGTCGGTGCTGCTTTTCGGGTTGGCAGGCATCCGTGGGGCTTGCATGAGGAGGGGAGCTGGGATGTCTCCTTGGCAAATGGCCATGGAGGCTTCCCTCCTGAGGTGTGCCTGCTTCCTGTACCTGGGCGAGGTGGGTGTTAAATCCCACCTCCCTGCCAGGTGCAATGCTAGCTGCTTCTCCAGGGCACAAGCCCAGTGTGGGGAGGGCTCAAATCCGTCTGCATGTGCTTATTTAGATATGCTCAAAAGACCCAAGGCTCTGAATTAAGGATTCGGCTGCAGCCCCTCATGGAGCACCCCTGACATTGCCTATGAAGGCATAGCCCTACCTGTCCGCCCCCATCAATGGACACATAGAGGTATACTGCTTCTGAACTGGGAAGCTCTACTAAACTTTTCACTGGGGCTAGGGCGGGAGCAGAGCATGCCTGACTTTAGCCACACTTCATACCAGTGTGTTTACACAGGAAAAGAGGTCGTGTAAATCTGAGCGAGGGCTTTGGTGTGTGTCTCAGCATGTGTTGTGTGTTGTCTGTTGCACACGGTTGTCTTGTTTTTTGGTTTATATAAGCTGCCCAGAGACTTTAGCATTGGACGGCTTATAAACACTTGAAATAAATAAAAAAGCAAGCATGCCCGGGCCTTTACGGCTCCAGTCCTGTGGCCACTCACCTGGGAGTAGGGCCACCGAATCTGCTTCCTGGTGGCCTGCTCTGTAAGTGAGCCGAGAGTGTTTTGCTCAGCATCGCTCCGTGCTCGAAACTGCACTGACGCCGTCTCTCTCTCTCTCTCTCTCTCCCACCGCTGGGCTGGGCTCCTTTTGGCCCTAATGAGTTGCCTGGGCTTTACACAATCACACCCACTCACACCTCGCCGGGTGCTCTGTTTACAGCCTGCTTTGCAGAGCGCCAAGGGCACCGATGCCTCCTTTGAAATCAGTCCAGGCCTGCTATCTGCATGGTGCAAAGTCACCCAAGCACGCCTGGAATGCCAGCCACGTGCCTTGCCTCACCGGGCAGTTTCTCCTGTTAATGACAAAGGGGGGGGGGGAACTCTGGATGTTTCCATGCTTCTTTGCCACTGACCTCAAAGTCCCCGCATGGCAACATCAGGCCTGCGAGGGCAAGTCACTGCCTGAAATGATGGAGCTGGGATTTATCGGCTGATTTGGTTAGAGCCCTGTTGGGCATCACAGGCGTGTGTGCGCAGGGCGGGGGCTCGTTTTCATGTTGCAGGTGTCGAATGAGCATCACCAAAAGGAGCAGAAATGGATGGAGCCATGGGCTTGTTCAGCTCTACGTTCTCTGCCTCTTCCTCAAGGTCTCTCCATTTGCCATCCATCGTTACTTCTCTACAGCATTTCCTTCCAAAATGCCTGTGAGCAAGCCATACCTATAGAAAGAGACAGCAGGAAAGGAAAAAGCAAGATGAGGGAAGAGGAAGGGGAAAAAGAACCACACGGGATATTTCAGTAGGGCTGCTGAAGTGTCGTCGTGAAGTGCCCAGCAAGCTTTAGCTGGTGGGAGGTAAAGAAATTAATGAATTAAACCGATATATTTCTTTCACATCCCTTTGCTTTAGCTTGCTGGAGTGGCTGCTGCCAGTGACAGTGACCACACGGGGGATTCCTAGAGTCTAATTACAGGAATGGCAACATCTAAGACTGAGAGCTGGCCTCAACTTTCATTTCCATCTCTCTGATCTCGGACTTTCCGGACTGTCCTATTCCTCCTCCTCCACAACACTTTCGCCCGTTGCAAGCCAGCCAGCCAGCCAGCCCTGGTGGCTGAAATGCCTGGATGTGTGCAGATGCTCCTGTGCATGGATGCAGGGGTGCAAGAACAAACGGAAGACGTGTGCGACTGTGGCAAGTGGCACATCGCTTCAACAATTCAGCAAGGGGAAGGCATTAGAAGGCAAGAAGGGGGGATTCAGAATTTGGGAAGACTCTCAGGTGCTCAGTCCTTGCTCAAGAATGAAACTTGAGTGGCATCAGTGCTCAGTCCATTGTCACTCTTTGGGCAGGGTCCAGGTTCTAAAGTCTTCACCTGCCCATCTGCAAAATGGCACTGGTTCGGCTCAAGCTACCTCGGAACATTTATTGATTTACCCAGCTAATTACTGCCCCTGGTTTCGAGCTCTCAGAGCGGATGCTTCTTCGCCCGCAGACGTGTCCTGCAACGGCACAACCCGGTTGTGCATTAGCAGCATCCGGTGAAGTGCCTCTCTCCCGCCCGGGCCAGTAGCAATCCACGGCTTGTTAGCCACGAACAACGCACACCTTCTTGTGAGAAATCCAGGGCGATACAGAGCTCCAGCTTATCCTCACAACAACCCCATGCAGGCTGAGAGGTTAGGCTGAGAGGGAGGGGCTGGCTCCCAGTCCCCAGGTGAGCTCCATGGCGGAGTGGAGAACGGAACTGGGATCTCCTCAGTGCCCCAGTCCAACTCTCCAGGCACCATTTTCTCACTGTGGCTTCCACACTGGCTGAGGAAGGCTGAATTCCTGGAAGCAAAGACAAATGCAAAAGTGACAGTTCTTCCCCTCCCACTTCTCTGAGCATGTGCAGAGTTGCTTCCTCGTGGGGGAAGGGACTTTTCAGGCCCTTCCAAATGGAGACCTGACATGAAGCGAGGCACATTTATTCCCCGGGGGCGCCTCTCCTCCTCCTCCTCCTCCTGATCGCGATTATGATCATTGCGGTTATTATTCTGTGAAAGGGCTTCGGGCAAGACCCGCGTGGGGGGCAGAGCGCGGCTCGGGGAGGGCTCCATCTTTTGTTCCCCAGGCAGCAGCGGGAGCCTCCGCCGCGCCGGGCGAGTATCCCTTCGCAGCCGCCCCAGGCACGCAACGCGGGCGCTTCCCCAGCGCAGGCTCCGCGGGCGAGGGAGCAGCGGCGGCGGCGGCAAACGCCGGGCGGGGGGGGCGGGGGCGGGGGGGCCGACCGTGGGCCTCCAAGGCGCCTCCCGATTGGTTGGCCGGGGCACAAAGAGTAGCAAATTTGGCCTGGTCACGTGGCCCGCGCGGCCGCTCATTGGCCGCGGCGCGCGCCTGTGCCTTTCTCTCGCCTTTCTTTCTTTCCTCCTCGCTCTCCTGCGCTCCCCCTCCGCTTTTCTCCTTTTCTCCGGCTGGTGAGGAGGAGGAGGAGGAGGAGGAAGGAGGGGCGAGTCGCGGCGCTGTCAAGCGGGGCGAAGATGCCGCGGCGCCTCCCGCCCGGCCGCGTTCCGGGGGCGGGCTGCGGGTGGCCGGCGGCGGCAGCCCGTGCGTAAAGGCGGACGCGGCTGGCCGGCTAGCTCCATGGACGCGGAGGCCCCCCGCGTGGCTCCGGCGGCGGCGGCGGCAACATGAGGGTCGCGCCGCGCGGCGCCGGGCAGCTCCCCCGGCCGCCGCCGCCGCCGCCGCTGCTGCGGCTGGCGCTGCTGCTGGCGC